ATGGCAACGCACTTGTGTCTCTTGAGTTGTAGGTTACCTATCTGCTCGTTTGCTCCCATTGCATCAGGGCCGGATTAACCATTAGGCAGAGTAGGCAACTGCCGAGGGGCCCTGCATCAGTTAGGGGCCCCACTTTTGCTGTTCATTCCTGAGGAGTTACAGAGATCTGAAGCTTCAAGAAAAAGGAGCCCCAAAGATTGCATTGCCTAAGAACTTCGACATGGCTAATATGGCCCTGCACCCCTGCAATAAATGATAATGATGATGACGGTTCCCGATAGCTAGAGCTAAGCGAGCTAACTTAATCTTCCCAAAAGACATGATTCTATTGCTCTAGTTGAGATGTTGATAGTCTCTGTTCGTTTTTATAATTTTTAAAATATTTTGTTCTGAAGCAGTATGTACATTACAATATTTTTATCGAAATTCATCTCCTTTAAAAAGTCAATAATAAACGATCGTAAAGGTTATTTGCCTAGTTTTTATTCTTCTGTGCGAAGTTCATCTATAACACAGCATTGGTCACGCCTTGAAACGATATAACATCGTACGTTATATCAGGTTTCCGCACACTTCATTAAACCAATAACGAGTTAATATATTTCTTGTGTTGTTGAAACAGCGTAAAGTTTTTAAAAGTGCCAATTAAGTACCAATCTTTAATAATCTTGAAGTCATAATTCCATTTCTTTATTTGAAGAGCTAAATATTTTAAAACATCAATACTTCAAAAGTATTCCCGCCTGGTGACGGCACGCTGGTCTATGTTAGGCCTTGCAATAGAGATATAAATGTATTTATGCGACTTATATAACCTTTTCCTTCCGTCAGGATCATCTCATCTCGGCGGCTCTGGCACCCTCACAGGATATTGGCGGTTAGAGCCATACGTGGTTACCGCACCGTTTTAACGGAGGCGGCATGCGCGTTTGCCAGAACTTCCCCGTGGAATTTGGAGGCGGAAGTGCTCACCGAAGTATATCGGTGGACGGCTGAGTTCCGGGCGCTTAGAGGCAGTCGGCTCCCGCCCGAAGTAGTACGCGAGTGGCATGAGGCCGCTCGCCGTGCCACGATAACTCGTTGGTTGCTGGTTTTGCCGCTGTTGAGGCGCTCCAGCGAGTAATCGTGGATTGGGCAGGGCGGCAGCATAGGACCCTTTCCTTCCGGCTGTCGCAGGTTTTTTCCGGGCACGGCTGCTTCGGGAAGTACCTGCACTTGGCCGCTGGGAGGGCATTGAGTCCTGCCTGTCACCACTGTGATTGCAGTGCGGACTTGGCTCAACACACGCTGGCAATTTGCCCGGCTTGGGCGTCGCAGCACCCAGTCCTCATTGTAATCATCGGAGAGTACCTCACGCTACCGGCCGTCATACACCCCATGGCCGGTAGTGATGAAAACGTCATCTCCCAGAAGGAGGCGTGAAGGCCCTGGAGGACAACTCCACTCGGACCAAATTCGTCGCCAGCGAACCGGGCAGCGGAGGCGCGCTTACCGTATGCCGCCCTGAGTATGGCCGCGAGTGGACAGGGATGGGTTTTCCCCTCCATCCGCTATAGTGGCCAGCCGTGAGGAGGCGACTTGCGCGTGTGCCTTACGTCGTCTACATTGAGAAAAATGTATGGTGTGTGGTTTTAGTCGGTCCGATTCCGACACACCACCCTGCCGTAAACCCCGGTGGAGTGACGGCCCGAGGGGGTATCCACACGAAAAAAAATCCTTCATCATCATCATCAGCTCATCTCTGTGCTTCTAGTCTCTTCTTTTTGAAATATGATTAGTATTTGTATACTACTGACGTTTGAAAGTGAACTAATAAGGGCTACTCAATAAAAATATTTAAGATAGAGTTTATTGCATATATACAAAGTCACAGCCAGTTAATGTAGGTGTGTTGACGTATTAAGAAAACAGTGACACCACCTCTACTTATCCCGTGGATGTTGCAAGGGCGGACTAAGGGAGCCAACTACGCAGGACAACAGCACTGCAAAGAGAAGGAAAACTTGAAGCAAAACCCTATACCAACAAGATATTTTTCTCCTAATACCTTATAGAGACCAATAACAGTAGACTTAACATCGATCACGAATGTTGAATTTGTTCCAGGCTTAAACACCAAATAAAATTTGATATTTTACATTCATGAAAGTATAGGTGTAGGTTACTATAACAATATTACGTAAATGAAACATTACATTTAGTTACAGCAGGCGCATATACTGATAAGCACATAATACTGACTGGTCTGAACAATAGGCAATGTAGTTGCATATGAATAACGTGGCACAGTTCCGTAATTCCGTTAATTTTAAGTCTACTTAAATAGAGAACGTCTTCAAAAAGTCTTAAATAGATAATGGTTTCAAAGCTATAATACCTAATTGTCACAGAACAGTAGCAAAAGTTGAGCAATTTCACTAGGCCAAAGAATAGAAAACAATACCAGTTACTAGGAAAATTCAGGATAGAGGTAGGTACTCCCAAGTTACTATAGGTAGTTTTTTAAATCTCCAAAAAAATATAGCTTTTTTTGTAAACAGCAAGACACTTTGACTAAATTAACGGAACAACTGCCCTCAAATGCCATAAGACCTCTATTAATACAACACAAATGCCGTTTAAGCTAAATAAATATTTTTTTGTGATTAACGAAAGCCATCTTTAACCTTTTCAAAACAGGAGACTTAATTTGCCTGTTTTTCTAGTATACCTTACGCAATATCTCAAATTGTGAACGGATTGTATTTGCCGATCACATGGGATTTTTATTGCTCTACTAAAAATTTGGAAAAATAAATACTAATCCAAATACGACAGAATTAGTCAATTATTTTTCGTAGCTTATATTACACGATTTTTTGTATTTGCTTATAGGTATCTTATTTCTTAAGCAGTAGTTGATAATCTTTAAACTGCCTTAAAAGCGTTAACACAGGTTTAACTAGTCAAATTGAAAAAATGAAATTCTTATTTTCGATCTCCCAACTTACCCACTCCACTGCATCCAAAACACAAGATGTTCCGTGACTGATTTCATAAAAAAAAACAATCGAGAACAAACGCGTATCCGGCAACACCGGTCGCAAGCACGGCGACGCGCCGACTGATCTGCATCAGCACCCGTTCAGCAAGCTGAACAAAAAATTTCACTGCGTTTTGTTTACTGCCCAAGTGCACTTTAGCATGGCGAGTTATTCGCCCTACTTATTGAAATACTTTTTCTAGCTTAAACGGGTTTGTAGCCTACAGGGACTTTCTTAAGATACTTTATGACTGATCCTGGAAATAATCAATACTAATAATCAATCAATAGTTCAATTTATGAATTTTCAGAGTTCTTCCGTAGAATATTTTTTTTTCAGAATCAGGCTATAATGTGACATTTATGGTTCAGCAGCTTAAATTTCAAATTCAAACAATTGAAACATGCTCTTAAGTCTTGACAATTAAAATATGATGGCACGCAGCAGAAGATTGGCACGACTTAGTGTTAATGTACTAGAGCTAATTATTAATACTGTAAAGGAATACATCACGAGTAAAATCTAGATAAATTCAGATTGAATTTGTGAGAACTAGTAACAATTTCGGCAACTACCCGCACGAACTTGCTGTTAATTGTATTTATTTTTACTATCGTTCATAGCATATTACACGAGTGGAAGAAAAAAATATAGTCGGCAAAATGTGGGTAAGTAAGGTATGTCTTTTTTATTTTGTAAGTACTTTGACACACCACAATCACAAATGCTCTTACGTGTGTATGTTCGCTGACGATTTCAGCGCCATCAGATATGAACTAGTTATAGAGAGTATAGTCCACCGGGCAGCGTCATTTCATTTACAATGCATTTTAGTGAAATCTGGTTAAAATCTTATTCAAATTTTAAAAAGTGCTGCATTGTCCAACCGGCATCGGCCGACCTTTACTCGCCTTTGGAGTGTTTCTAAAAGGCCAAATACCATTTATGGAAAACGGTAGCTAGGTCCTATCACGAATAGTCGCTATGCAATATCTGTTTTCATCACAAGGAGTGAGCGCGAGATATTGAATAAATATAAAGTTCGGCTCCGACGTACCTGATTCGGTAGATAATCTATTCCCGATCTCTGCGATGTGATATCAATCAACAAATCAGAATCTTTCCTTTTGGCAACCTCACAGGTAGCTGATTTGTAATATACTTGTCGAAAATGGCTGATAATAATCATCCAATGACTTTTCATCTTCTAGGACAATGTGTAGACAAGATATTTCCATAAACTACGTCACGTAAACTATACGAAAGTACCTTCATTAAATTTTCTATTTCTTCCTTTTCAATTTGTGTAACAAAATAGTTATACCAACGACAGTAACCTAATTGATGCATACAACGCCATCTACCATCTAAAGGTGACACTTCCAAGCAATGACGCTCGTGCAAACTAACAGCGACATCTATACTTAAAGGGTGAAACCCTTTAATTGAAACACACAAAATAAAACAAACAATAAATCATTATAATATAAATACAATATAAGTAATAAATACGCATTATAAATACAACTTTCGGGTATCACAACTTTACTAACCAAGGTATGGTCAAGATTAGTCTTGAACATAACTTGTTAGTTCATATCATTAGCCTGTAGGTGGCGCATAAATGTTTGCACAGTGAAGTGAACTTTTCTAACCATTTCACTTAATAATTTTAAAATGTTCTGCAAAAACTGATCAAGTTTCTGTTAGCGTCAAATTAATTATAAATGTAGCAAATCAGATTTGGAGCCTTTTTTCGAAAAAAATTATACCATTTAAGTACTATCATATTATACATAATAATAGGAAAACTAAAATGAAAACCCAAAACATCTTGTTAAAGTTGTCAGATTCTGTATGTATCAAGAGACATAAAAAAAATATCTTGAATTCGATTTGTGATATAATCCAATACATATCGAATGAAATAGTATAGTATAAGCTATATCATACTACAAACATATAGACTATGATTGGCTATTTGTTTGATATTACTAACTCTGATGGCATATTAGTTCCTTCTAAGGCTGCTAATATATTCTTCGCCACAAGCTCACTCATTGTATTCCTAGCTTCAATTGAAGCACTTCCTATATGAGGAAGTATCACACAATTCTTCATTTTTAATAATGGGCTATCTAACGGCAACGGTTCCGGAGAAGTCACATCCAGTCCTGCAGCTCTTATTGTATTATTTTGTAGCGCTTCTATCAAAGCATTTTGATCTACAAGCTGTCCCCGGCTGGTGTTAACAAAAATTGCTGATTTCTTCATCTTTTCAAAAGCTGCCTTGTTAAAAATTTCTTTAGTTTCTGGTACTAATGCAGCACAACAAATGATAAAGTCGCTTTTCTTTAAAAGGTCATCAAAGCTTACTTTATCTGCACCAATTTCCTTTGCTTCTCTTTTCTCACTGCGATTGTAGTAGATAATCTTGCCAGTATTGAAAGCCTTGACACGTTTGGCCACGGCCTGACCGATGCGACCGAAGCCGGCTATACCGACAGTAGCGCCCTGCAGGCCAGGTCCTGTCATCCAAGTCGGAGCCCAGGACACCCAACCACCAGTGCGAGCCTCGTCGATAGCTTCAGATAAACGACGTGATGTTGCAAGAAGTAGGGCTACCTGAAGTTATCGCAAAAAATGGCTTATTCATTAAAAAATTCGATTACTATTACTTCATAAATAAATAACTCTAATTATCGGTTCAAAGTTTTATTACTTCACATTGAAAATCTTTGAAATTCTCGAATTTCCTCTACTATAATTTGCATATTATTATATTATACCTATATTTATAAACGCCACTCTTGAATCACTCTGTCAATTATTGAACACCGTATTACAAACCCTATACCAACCCGTCTGGCCAGCGTGGTATAGTAGGCCAAAACCTCCTTTCTAAGGAGAGGCCTACAACAGCTTTTAATAGTCCAGCAGTGGACTATTAAAAGCTGTTGTCGTGTGTGTGTATGTGTGTGTGTGTGTGTGTGTGTGTGTGTGTGTGTGTGTGTGTGTGTGTGTGTGTGTGTGTGTGTGTGTGTGTGTATTACAACCCGTTGCGTAGTTTGACAGATCTAAGCGTATAAGAACAAAAAACGACTTCATTTTACACTATGTAAAGTAGTATGAATTCCTAATTGTATGCAAGAAGTTTTACAAAACTGGCACTAGATGGCGTCCTTTGAATCCGTCTCTTTTCCTCTCGTAAATGCGACAGTGACTTTTTGTAAAGCTTTTGTGTAAAAAAAACCGTCTTCATGAACTTTGGTTATTTTTATCAAAAGAAATTGATGCAGAAGACCTTTATTTTCAACAAGACGGTGCACCATCTCACATTACTCGAGTGAACATGGAATTATTGCGTGGAAAGTTTTGCGAGTCGTTAATTTCGAGAAATGGACCGATCAGTTGGCCACCAAGATCGTGTGATTTAACACCTTTAGACTATTTTTTTTGGGGTTACGTTAAATCTAAAGTGTACAGCAATAATCCAGCTACAATTCGTGACCTAAAAACCAACATTCGACGAGCCATAGCCGACATACCGCCCGAAATGGCGCACCGCGTCATCGAAAATTGGCGTGAGCGGGTGACCATCTGCAAAAAGAGCTGCGGCGGTCATTTGGCCGATTTACGAGTATTATTTAAAACATAAATTGCATAAAATGATCTATCGAATAAATCAATCGGATGCATTTTTCAAAAAAAATTGTGTGTTTTATTCAATTTTTAAATATTAATTTTATATATTATTATTTTATTTTATATATTAAATAATAATTTTATATATTTATGATTAGATTTTTTTTATGGTATAAGGAGGCAAACGAGCAGACGGGTCACCTGATGGTAAACAAATACCGCCGCCCATCCACCACCACCACCACCAACAGCCTATAACAGTCCACTGCTGGACGTAGGCCTCTCCTTAGAAAGGAGGTTTTGGCCTAGTATACCACGCTGGCCAGACGAGTTGGTATAGGGTTTGTTTCAAGTTTTCCTTCTCTTAGCAGTGCTGTCGTCCTGCGTAGTTTGCTCCCTTAGTCGGCTCTTACGACACCCACGGGATGAATAGGGGTGGTGACAATCTGTATTCTTAATCCGTCACCACACGGACAACTCCGCCGCCCATGTACACCTGCAACTCAATAGTCAAGTGCGTTGCCGCCCTTGGAGTCCCTCCCGCTCTAATCAACGGGATTTGGACTCCGGTAACCTCACTCACTCAGTGAAAGGCAACGAAATAATTGCTTAACACCGGTTTTCTGTGAGGCTGTGGTATCACTCCAGTCGAGCCGGCCCATTCGTGCCGAAGCATGGCTCTCCCACGGCTATTTACACCAGGCTATGTTTATTTCCTATGTTCAGTTAATTTAAATATCGCTTACGAATTCTTTTATTCCCTCCTTCTATTTGAAATTTTAGTACTTAATAAATTAGCAACACATCAATTATAATTAGAGAGAATTAACTTTATTTTGTAAAAATAAGTCACGCAAACAACATTTTTTAATTAAGATAACAAAAAATTGTATTGTAATGAGAATGCCATATCGAAGCAATGAAATTGTTTCAGATCACACTTCGTTAATTTGCAATTAATTAAATTAGTATTACCAGCTTCCTATGTTATTACCACTAGGTTAAATTAAGTTCTTTTGATTAATTTAGTTTGTATGTAAAAAACAGAGATGTAATGATGGATTCCTGCTCAAAACCAACATTTCTTAGAATTTTTTCTGTTGATTTGTAAAGGAATTTTACTAGCAAATTCCTGATGTTACAAATATATCTTAAGCTACATACTTTTATTTTGAAAAATAATATAGAAATACAAACCGAGGCAGTACTGTTTCATCTACTGAATATGTATTTCATCATCAGCCAAAAGACGTCTACTGCTGGACATAGGCCTCCCCCAAAGTTCGGAACAACTAACGATCCTGTGCTGCCCGCTTCACCACCTTCACTAGTTCGTCTCGGACCACCTGGTAGGAGGCCATTGTTGCGAGCAATGTTACTAAAGTTTGGCAAAATCGGTGACAATGGTTTGTCTGCGGATCTCCTCATTCCTGATTCGATCAAGCAGAGAAACTCCGAGCATTGCCTTCTCCATTGCTCTATGGATGACTATGAGCCTTCTTTTGACGCCAATGGTGAGCGACCACATTTCTGTACCATTAGTCATCACTGGCAACACACACTGGTCATAGACTTTTGTCTTAAGACACTGTGGTATTATTAAACATGTATTTATGAAAAGAAAATTTGCTAATATCATTCAGTACTTGACCTTTACTTATTTAATCTATAAAATGAACTGGCCTGTTGGTATAACAATTAGTCATGTTTTTGATTCCCCCCCAAGCAAAATATTGTATGATGAGCTTGATCATATATGTTCTGTGTCTGGGTATTTATACATGTATGTATCTGTCTATCCCTTATGGGTATAAAGTCATGAGGGATTTTGTAATGCATCTATTGATATGATGGTATTGGTTGTGGGCTTCGGATTCCGCATTTAGGCTCAAGAGTGGTACTTTATGGGTCAAGGACTGGTTAGCTAGGTGAGCTAAACAAGCTCCTTCCAGAAGCGCAGAAGCCTTCTGGGGCGTTCACAGGCATCTACGAGGGATTTTGTATCGGTGTAATGCATCTATAAAATTAATAAAATACTTACTGTCAATTCAGCAGTAGCATCGGTCAATACATCAGGAGTATATCCAATCCTGATACCTCTCTTCTTACACTCATTTAGATCGATATGGTCATAGCCAACAGATATAGTTGAGACCACCTTCAAGCTTGAGCCTGCAGCTTCCAACACCTCCTTGTCAATCTTATCACTGAGAGCGCAGAAGATAGCATTCATACCAGGTATGGATTTTAGAAAATCTGCTCTTGGGACTGGTGATGGTTTGTTCCATAAAGTTACATCACACCTGGAAACAAAATAAATTCAATACTATAAAATTGCTCAACATTTATTAGATATCATCAATTTAGAAAGAAATTATAATTAACAAGCTAATTATTAAGAGAAAAAAAAACCCGACAGTGTAAAAATCTAGACCATTTGTAAAGAGTGCACAAAAAGTAGCACCACAAGCTTCTGCAAGTGATTTCGCCTGTGCTATTTTTAAAAATTTTTTTTGTAAAAAATGACAATGACAAAGTGTGCTCAAAAAACAACACTTTATATTAATCTTTTATTATTATGCTGAGCCTTAAAAAATTATCTTATATATAAAATTCTTGTGTCACAATTTTAGTTACCATACTTCTCGGAAACGGCTGGACCGATTTTTATGATATTTTATGTGCACATCGGGTAGGTCTGAGAATAGGCCAACATCTATTTTTCATACTCCTAAATGGCAAGGGTGACCCACCCCTAAATTTTTTAATATTTCCTTTAAATAATGTATATGACAAAACAAGTTTGCGGGGTCAGCTAGTAATAATATATACCTTACACATCGCACAAGCGGCAATCTGATCCCAGAGGCAGAGCCTGTGCTATGGTAACCAGACTGCTGATAAACATACTTATATATTTTTAAATACATACAAATTATAGATATATTACACCCAGAAACAGAACAAATAACCATGCTCATCACACACTATTTGTGCTGGGTGGAATCAAACCCACAACTTCCAGATTAGCAGTTGGTCACTAACCACTCGACCATCAGGTCCATCAATTCCATATTGTTAGCTTGAATTATACTACTACTACACTACGACAACTGCTACTAAAAAGTAGTAGTAATACAATTTAATGTATTTCATTCAAAATTGTAACTAATTATATAATGTGTATATGTATTGTTTTCCTACAAGATTAACAACAAATTGTAACAGACAGTCTAATAACAATACAATAACTTATTTAGATTAACAACAAAATGACTTAAAAAAACAAAAACTTATTAGATAATTATTCTATGGTGTGTCTGATTGTGGTCATTCAAGCAACAAGGTTTCTATTGAAATTGACAGTACTATACTTTTTACTGTTTTTGTTTTTTTTTAAACATAGTAAAAAAACATAATGAAAAATGATGACAGTACTATACTTTTTACTGTTTTTGTTTTTTTTTTAAACATAGTAAAAAAACATAATGAAAAATGATGACAGTACTATACTTTTTACTGTTTTTGTTTTTTTTTAACATAGTAGAAAATACATAATGAAAGTGAGCTCAGAACAGATTTCAAAGGCACGTGGTACTTAAGAAAATGTATTGAATGTATCAGCAACTGCTAGTACTCAAATAGAATTAAAACAGAGGCACTGTACACTGTGATTATTTCACCATTTGTAGGCAAAATTTCATAATGATAAAAATTTCAGTAACATACATTTATATAATTTAGGAACATGTCTATGAGGTGTTTAAGACCAATAGGGATTATAGTAACTTAGCAATACCAGGATTTTCGCCAAAATTGGAAATTCACCCTCCCCGACATAAGTTGAATGAGTCTAAAATTATAAAGATATTATGAACCAAACTTTAAGAAACACATAATATATCTAGTGACTATAGCAAATATAACCTATAAGGAATATTCGAAGTATACCAGTGCGACTAATAACCGTAAAAAAAACATGTTTTTGATATTTATTTATTTTATTTATTTATTTATTACAACTATGGAGGATTTACAGCTATGATGATTACAATAAAAACAGTCAAGAAAACAGAAAGCCAATAACAAATCCTCACTTATATAAGTCAGAGATAAGTTACAGTGCATAAGACAATACAGAATAGGATCAAGAGGTATTATATAAGTTACAGGCACAGATCACCTACAAATTACACAGAACGTAATAATATACACACAAAACAGACAGGACCCATAACAATAACTACTCAGACCCCCCACCATCACCCCTGAAGAATTTAAGGCTTAAACACCTCCTCGCTCCCGTTACACTAACATTAAAAATATCAATTCCAAATTGTTCACACACATTATTGAGGCTTCTAGTTGAACGAATAACAAAAGAATTTTTTCTATAGTTCGTCAGTGCAAATGGTACACTCAGCGGTGGGTTATAGCGAGTTCTTGACGGAATATTAATATTAAACTTAGATAAAAGTTCGCAGCAGTCAATTTCGTTACTGAAAATTTTTAATAATAGGCTACAATCAGCAATTTCACGACGCGTTGTAAGGGGTAGTAAATGGTACTTCTTGCAAAGGTCAAAGTAAATTTCCGAGTGATAAGGTACTTTCTGGTGAAAGCACAAATATTTTATGAACCTTCTCTGGATATTCTCAATTCGGTCTACATATTTTTGGTAGCAAGGATTCCAAACTTCACATGCATACTCTAAATGGCTTCTAACAAAGGTGCAATACAGAATTTTTAAAGTTTTTGCCTGTTTGAAGCTCCTAGACAGTCGCATTATGAATCCTAATGCTTTAGAAGCTCTGGCAACGATTGCATCTATGTGTTCTATATATTAAAATAATATAGTACCGGACGGGTATGTGTGGCGGCGACGCCGTCCGCCATTGTTGGCGGTGCCGCGCGGACGCACTAATTTGCTAAGCGAAGCGCCTCTAACGCGTGCGTTGCGCACCTTAAACCTAGTAGCCACAGATATCGACTTATTTAGCTGTACACTGAGTGAGTTCACAAAGACAGTATTATATATTATATGTTACAAAACAAAAAGTTAGAGGTATACCTGTAATGATAGTAGTAAGTGTGGATACTAAATAAATAAATAAATAAATAAATATTACTTACTCTTTCTTTAACAACGAAATACCTTGTTCTGGCATATCAGAACGGGTAACAAACACTTTATATTTCGCAAATGAGCGCTTCATTTTCTCCACAAAGTCACAAACAGAACAACAAATCTACTGACTATTAGCCCGTCTCTTTAAATATAAACCACTAACAAAACTTCAATTTCCGGCTGTTCTTGTTAGCGTATCAAGTAAAAGGAAGGTCAATCAATTTTCTGGTAGGTATTTAGGCGCTACCAATTGAGTTTTAGCGGTATTCTCGCTCTTAAAAAACGAGGGCTTTGCAAAGTATACGGTAACGTGTAGCGCAGCCACCGTAGCCAATATCACCTTACCCTTACTTGACTTAATAAACGAGAACGCGCTCATGTTATTATAGACTGAAAAAAGATGATACTATTACGTAAAAACTAGTCATATCCAACCAAGTGAATTGTTGTATCGTGAATTTCTAGTTATCATCGAATGACATTGGCACTTGACATTGACAGTGAAACCGATCGCCGCCACCTACAGACCTATAGATAGTCCATCTAATCTAAGAAGAGGTACCGTTTGACAGTTGTGACAGCTTGAAGTGTAGCGATGAGGCCAAAGAAATTTATTATTACAATATCCAATTCTTAAAAGAAATCGATAGATTTTTTTAGTATGTACTAATCGATAACAGTTTTACAGATTTATGTATGTTACTATAAAAGCCCGTGTAATAGCATATCATAGGTTTTACTAATAAATCTAAGTATACACATCAAGACATGGACACAAACCAATTTGCCCACAAAGATTTATTTAAAATTACATTAACTTAATGATTGATACTTTTAATTCTAATAATGCGTTGTCGTTGACAGTTGGATGAATTTTAAGTATTATTAAACACTTTAAAACGCCTAGATTGAAAATGACTCGTTATTAATTAATACGATTCTTCGTATTAATTCATAATCCTGTGTCGCGGGGGACCCTACAAACATCCATGAAACGGCCACAAAGAACACCCAGACTCAGAACAACAACTTGTGGATCACACAAAGTGTCGTCCCATGTGGGGTTTGAACCCACAACACTCTGCGCAGTAGGAAGCAGCGTGGCGACCGCTTAAACGACTACACCATCCGTGCAGTCAGTGAATTTGAAGAGACACAACACTACGGTAAAGGACCTAACTACGTGACTTTGAAACGAAGATTGAAAAATTTGTGTATAAATTGATTATTTTGCTTTCTTTTAAAGATTTCAATTTTAATTCAGTCATTAAGAGTTGTACATCTCGCGATAAAATTAAAATTGCTGCATAATTCCATGGTTTTAAAGAAAAGGTTATTGAAGTTGTGCGAGTTGCGCCTACACAAAGATGTTTCGTCTTAAAAAGTTTGAAACGTCAAACGGTACCTCTTAGATTATATTATGGACCGTAGAACCTATTGTAATAGACGTTTACATCTCAGAGTAGACACTAATGGACATAAACAGATATTTATACACAAATAGTAAGTAGCAGAAGTACAAAATTGTTAAAAAGTTCTTATCCTCTAATCAGCATAGGTATAGTGTGAAAAAGTCTACAAATACAAATCTTGCTACTTATGTTTCTGAATTAACAGCGTCAGTGGCTCAGGGTTGGAAGTTGAAATGGTATAAACTAACTTTTCGAATGCCTTCGACAAAGTTAATCATGAAATTATACTACAGAGGCACTAGTCGTTTAGCATAGTCAACAAAATTTTAAAATGGTGCAGGTCTTGTCTTGAAGATATCTTGAAGGTGCTTGTCTTATCTGACACTGACATTGACCTCTGGTGTGCCTGGTGTCTGGTGGGTCTCATTTAAGATCTTTATTTTTCAATATTTTTGAATCAACGACATTTCCCAAGTATTTAGACACTCCAAGCCGTAACTTTCCCAGACGGTTTAAAATTTACTCGCATAACTGATGAATTTGACACACGTTTATTACAGACAGACATAGACAGTTTAACTCAATGGTGTATCAGAAACAAAATGTGTTAAACTGTTCTAAATTTTACCATATAATGTTCACCAGAAAACGCAATAAAATGGAGGAAAATTCTCTTATAGACGTAACAGGAATTCGGTTACTTGAACAGAAAACTTATCTTCCTAAACCATATAGATTAAATAGTAAATTAAGCATATCTGTCTCTTGGATTCATATTGCGTTCATCGAAATAATTTAAGAAGCCATCAACTACATTACTATTATACAAGAGTTATGTACGAAGCCAATTAGAATCATCATCAACAGCCTTTACTAGTCCACTGCTGGACATGGGCCTCTCCTTAGAAAGGAGGTTTTGGCCTACTATACCACGCTGGCCAGACGGGTCGGTATAGGCCAATTAAAATACTGTAATATAACTATATTACAGTATTCTAATTGGCTTCGTACATAACTCTTAGTATGAGGGATTCCAAACTTGGAATCCCTCATACCAAGTTCACATCAATTGAATCGATAGGATTCAGAAGAGACTTCTTGGTCCACTAGCTTTTCGATTTAGACTAGACTACTCTAGATAGACCAATTTATTTTAAAGTCATGAATTTGAAATCAATCTGAACCATCTCTGATTTGTTATTTCTACATAAATTGCTTAATAATGCCATAGATTGTCCGGATCTACTCAGTAAAATAAGTACTAACGTTCCTCTCAGAGGCCCACGTCCACGCCCACTCCCCGTCCAATAATCAAACCACCACTTTGGAAACACACTTACCGCTTGCTAGTAGGTATTATTCATCATTACAAGTACAAGACTGTTTCATATTCCTCGGGAGACATAAACGTTTCCTCAACTCGCGGGTATGTATCTTTCTATTAATCTTTGAATTGGGCTGTCAAAATCTTTACAAAATTTGAGCTCAATCGGTGAAAAACTTTTTGAGTTTTTGAAGCGTACACAAATCAACTTAACATTTTTATGTATAGATTTCAAAATCTTTATTTGCTGTTTTGATTGTTTTTTTTTTTGTAGTAGTAGTACCACCTAATAGAAAAAAATACTCATCGACAGCCTTTAATAGTCCACTGCTGGACATAGGCCTCTTCTTAGAAAGGAGGTTTTGGCCTACTATACCACGCTGGCCAGACGGGTTGGTATAGGGTTTGTGTCGAGTTTTCCTTCTCTCTGCAGTGCTGTTGTTCTGCGTAGTTTGCTCCCTTAGACGCCTCTTACGACACCCACGGGATGAATAGGGGTGGTGACACTCTTTATTCTTAATCCGTCACCACACGGACATAAATAACGGAAAAAAAATACATATATATATATATTTAAGTCTATGATAAATTTACACTACGTAATAAACTAACTGACCTGAGCAATTACGGCTGCGTCCCCCTAAATTTTCCCCTTTTTAGATACATTTTTAATTGATGCTTGGCTTCTTTTAGTGGTAGCGTTATGTTATATAGCCTATTGTCTTCCTCGATAAATGGACTATCACTTACTAAAATAATTTTTCAATTCACCAACCAAACAAACACACTCTTCAGCTTTATAATATTAACATAGATTTATTGGTTTCCGTCACAGGTAGCAATCGAATTGTGCCAGACACTCTGACAGTGGACCACGGCCAGTTTAATCTGGACAAAACGTCATACAATTCAATTCAAGGGTATGTACTTAACACCTATCGTGAGTGCATTAAATCCTGTAATACATAATTACTCGTGAACAAACAACAAATTGACGAAGTAGTTCCAAAGACTAAGTACGGTCAGAGAAAAACACGGTCACCCGTAATTACAAGATTCAATCTGCACAATTTTATTTACAAAAAATGCTTTAGTTATTCGCACTGAAGGTCGTCAGTTTTTTATTTGTTCCACACTTTTAAACACTAATGATCTATAATGTGAAAATTGTCGTATGATTAACGTCTAAACCAGAGAAGAGTGCAAGCCAGTAAGTTAAAATATTTTAAAACAAAAATTCAATCTCAAAAATATTTATAGTACATCGTTATGGTCAATTGATATCGCTTTTTATTACGAGCGGCGGGGTGGTGTGTCGGGTGGACCGGACAACCCCCGTGTAAAGCCGTCTTTAATTGATATCACTGATGTAGCAATACAGCAAAGGTACTGCAGACTGTTCTGTTAACCATGCGAGACTTGATATAGTCTGTAAAGCATAGCTACACTGATATGTCTCCGGGGTAAGGAAATATATCCTTTGAAATCTGCTCATGGCATATTAGTTGAGAATTAAATTTGTTTACGTGAGGAAATCTCAGTCCTGCCACTTACACTTGATATGTTTGCATCGAAGCTATTAAAACCGTTCAAAGTTATTAGCAGAAAGTCTTAATGTAAGAAAGACTTCCGTAACGTTTTTACCAATATCACTAGTTATCGAGCCTTTGCTCGAGCAAGAAATCGATTGATCGGTCAAGACATCCATAAGGCATAAGATCAAAGGTCTTTTGCATTGCTTTAGTTCCGTGTTGTCACCTGTTTCTTCTGTTGATTTTTCTAACTGTCTGTTAACTTAAAACTAATAAGTTTTAAGTTACATTTAAACTTGGATCCTGGGTAAGAATACAACATACATTTTTTGAGCCACTTATTGGAGTTTCTCCGTATTATGGCTAAAGATACGTTGCATGTATGTATTTAAACATTCGAATGTATTTTACTTTGAACTAGTAAACCGTAAACGTAATTTATTGACACCGAGACGCACCTACGAGTATTTGCCTAACACTGTCGTCATGATATGTTTGAACAAGTATCTTAAATAATATTTTAAATGCGAATGTAAGTTTGTTTGTTATCTTACGACTTACCAACTAAACTGATTATCATAAAATATTGCATACACTCAGTTACGGGTACAGGATAGAACATTAGATACCCGTTATCTATAAAATTACTGTTTCTGAGGTGTTACTCAATTGATTTCTAAACCTATATTAAGACGAACGCAAACGACGATGTAGTCGCGACGTAAAGCTAATGTTAAATAAAAAAACTGATGCCCAAACAATTGACGCGAGAATTTGGCCGGTTTTTCCTCCTCCCAGGATTGTTTTACACAGTTTTAGGCATCGGTTGTAATATAAAGAGGTGTCTAGTTCACACTACATTACTAATAATCTTGTAACATTCTGAATAGGAACGTGTTACGCGTGATACGCAAGCTCAGAGAAAACTTGACTTTAAGCTGTAAATTATTTGAGGCAAATATCGGTGCATTTGAAATTTATCTGCAAATTATTATTATGGATCTAAAATTAGGTAAGCATTTTTTGTAGTAATCTATTATATATAAATACGTAGGTATATGAAATGTGTTATTACATTGGAATTTTAGTTAGTTTTTCGTTCACTAGATCGATTCGTTCGATGGGTTGAATTGTTTTAAGTTTATCTTACCACTAGCTGGTATTCGCGACTTAGTTTGCGTGGAATTTGTAAAACGCTGCCTTAGTGGTGTAGTACGGTACGCGACTGCAGTTTATGAGGCCTTGGGCTCGATTTCCGAATCGGGCAAAATTTTAAAGGGTTTTTCTAAGAGGAAAAATAGCCTAAGTTACTCCTTATATAAATATTAAAAAAATCGGTCAAGCCATTTTGATGATTACCCGGAACCAACAGACAGACAGACAAAAAATATTTAAACTGATTTTTAGGCATAGGTCCAAATAACCGTGTGAGCATAAAAAAACCTATTGTTTTGACATTACAAACAGACACTTCAATTTCATTTATTTATTTCTTAACATACTTTATACTTTTAAGGGTTCTGAACGAAATAATAAATATATTGAGTGAATACTTGAAGAAAATTCTTTGTACCCTTTTTAAACACATATTATGCAAGGAAACTTATCATATTTAGAATACATTTTACTCATATATTCAAAACAATTTTTTTTGAAACAATATGTGCTATAAACATGTGCTACGAGTATACACTTAATGAGGTCCAGTATGTGCATTGATCTTTCATGGTACATACGCCTTTATAATTATAGTTCAAATTATACTGGTTAATTAAATAAACAAGACATTCAACAACAATACAAATTCGACCACCAACCTCTAGTTCAAGTACTTAACTAACATAAATCGATTCTTAAGGCACAGGGGCAAACGAAAGTCTGCGAACCTTACATAGTACACCAAAATATTAATTATTACTTATTATAATAATTACTTTGTCACTTCAATACAAAGGGAAAATATACCAGACTTATGGTCGTGCCTTGACTGATGCGTCAGATCCCCCCACTTTTGTTGGTGAATCATTTGGGTTAGATGATGTCATACGGAGCTGAAACGTGGACACTTACGGTACGGCTGGTCCACAAGTTCAAAGTCGCTCAACGTGCTATGGAAAGGGCTATGCTCGGCGTTTCTCTAAGGGATCGCATCAGAAATGAGGTGATCCGGCAGAGAACCAAGGTCACCGACATAGCCTACCGGATCAGCAAGCTGAAGTGGCAGTGGGCTGGCCATATTAGCCGCAGAACCGACAACCGTTGGGGAAAACGAGTTCTTGAGTGGAGACCGCGTCTCGGTAAACGTAGTGTAGGACGCCCACAGGCCAGGTGGAGTGACGTTTTTAGCAAGATGGCTGGCAGGAGCTGGATGCGAGAAGCCCAAAATCGATCTAAGTGGCGTGCAATGGGAGAGGCCTATGTCCAGCAGTGGACTGCGATAGGCTGATGATGATGATGATGTTATAACAGTACAGTATGATGTTGTGGTACAACCGAAATGACTAGTATTCCGTTAACCCCTCCCGCTAAGCTAAATTGCTGTGTTAGGAGTGGGTTCACGTCGGTAGCGTACCGGTCAGGATTGAAACCCACGACCTCTTGATCGCAAGTCCAATGCCTGAACCACTAGGCTACCGCCGCTTGACTTTTGACGTTGACTTGGCGGTTGATTTTGAATTTTGACTGTAACATTTAAGTAAACACTAATTGATGGCTACACGAGTATACATCTTATTATAATAGTATGTATTTTACAGCTATCGCATTCATCGTGTCAGCGCAACTATGGTCAGAAATACCAGCCCTGGGCCCATGTGATTGCACCCGACATTCACAACCAGTATGCGGCTCCGACGGCGTCACATACAGTAATCCGTGTGTTTTAAGATGCACCCAAGCCACAAGCCTCCGACCTATAACCCTAGTTAGCGAAGGCCCTTGTCCGAATCAATCAGGGAGTGGAAACTGTGGATGCAGTTTGGACTACGTACCAGTTTGTGGTTCTGATGGAAACACCTACCCCAACGCATGCCACGTTAGCTGCATGAGTATTAATAATCCTTCATTAAGAGTTGATTATGAAGGACAATGTAGACGGAATGATTGTTCCTGTCCTGCCCAGTATCAGCCCGTTTGTGGCACTAATGGCGTTACCTATAGCAATGATTGTGAACTAAATTGTGCGACGGCTCATGATCCTTTGTTAGGCGTTGCTCACTACTCGGCTTGTTAAAGTAATTTCTGTAAATCATCCATGTTGGGACTTCTTCTTCTTTATGTCTTTGACATTTATTAAATTATTAAAGTTTAGTAATTTATACGTATTAGTTTTTTTGACACTGGATACGAGATTTTCACTCCTTTGATATGCAGTTTTCTTTCGTTTAAGTAGATAGTTTCCTATGAATTATATAAAAGTATAGTTTACCTAATATTGGAAATATATTTTGGTTTGTGACGGTCACATTAGTTTTTTATGGTCATGTAAATCATGCATATTATTTTGTTGAGTGATCGTTTAATTAATCAGCATTTCAGAGAATAAATAATTAACATTCTCTTGTTCTTGTTCTATTTAGAAAAAAATATAAACAAAATAAATATTAGATTAACAACAACACTCAGTTCAAATTTTCATAGGTATACAAGGTATACCTATGAAAATTTGAACCTAGGTAGGTATACTAAAAACTGGTCAGTCTTCGGATGCCTACTGCCTAGTGTCAACAAAGTATACTTGTCTGTGCGAGCCCTTATGATATCTACATTATTTCTAATAAATAACGGCTTTTACATTTCAAATCCCAACTTATTAACATTCGAGCGTGGAATTTGCCATGACCTCCGAAAAACTCATTCATGTATGGTATGTTATATCCTGTCAAACTTCAACAGTTATGTGTATAACTGTAAAAAAAACAATAAATTAATATAGATAATTGAGTGTAACGTTTCATTTAACTATGAAAAGTGGTTTACTCAGGAACTACGAATACATTAAAGAGGTTACATATAATTATCGCGTAGCTGATGGAGTCGTCTGAAAATGGCACTGCATATGAGTCTGGTTATATCTTGAAGTCAACGATAACGACTCCGACGAGTTTCGACTTATCTGATTGACCAGCTTCTGTTTGTTCACTGGAGAACCTGAAATGACAGATCCGTTCAGCACCATGATTGTATTGTACATAAAAAAAAACATTCGGAGAATAGAATAAAAGACTGTATTCTACGAGTATTTGCCGTCAAATGTCATATTTGTGATTTTTACGTAAACAATCTAAATCCCTCACCAATATAGCTGAGCATAACGGGCAGGAAGATGAGCCCGTGCGCCGCGCCCAGCACCACGATGCCCAGGTACATGCGGAAGTAGAACACCTGCGGGAGAGAGGAGGCGTGAGACACCGCGGGACATGGCGACAGAGCCCGGACAGCGGGCGGCGCGCGGGCGGTACCTGGAAGATCTGGCTCTTGGCCGTGCCGAGCACGATGATGCCGCCGAACTTGGTGAGCGTGATGCCGGAGAGCACGGAGGAGCCCATGCGCGTGAGCGCCTCGGTGGCGCGCGCCACGCGCGACCCGCCGCCCGCCACGCTGAAGCTGTGCACGATGTGCGAGCAGAACTCCACCGCGATGCCCACCGCCATCACCTACAGTACACGAATATGATACAGCTTTGTCAAAATACCTAATTCAAATTATGTGTTTGTATTCTCTGAAAGAACCGTAGACGAAGGTCTTTTCAGAGAATAAAAACTATTATAAATATAACATAATGTAGTTAACATTAATAGATGCGTTGTACATTCCCATCTAAGTTCATGAGAACCCAGCGGGACTAACGGAGTCTTGACACAAAAGAGGATTTATTCAGCTAAATATGGCTTGGTCCGATTCAGAATTATAATTTGATTTAAAAAATAAGAGTTATTGTTTCACTGTTTGTCTGTTCAAACGCTCCTTCGACCATTTATAGTTCGCGAAAGAAGAAGTATATGTACCTAGTGATAACATCATACACAAACACACGGCTGATGCTTTACTTTGCACAACCTTGAACATGACTGACAAATATCAAGATTCCATTCGTACTTTAAGTAAAGCAATTGCGGTAATTGCTTTTTTAACGAGACGCTTTAAGATGATGTAAGTTTTATTTTTTTTGCGATGGCCATGAATTGACCAAGGTCTTACATAACAAATCATTTTCATCAATTTTTTTTAATGGTAAAGGAGGCAAGTGAGCTGACTGGTCAGCTGATGGAAAGTGACTACCGTTGCAGACGATAATTTGATCATTTGTTCCACAGATTGGTTGGGGAAGCCAAAAAGTGTCTTGAAAAGTGCACAATGGTGGAGCACTAATGCGATGGATGACGGAAAGTTGCGGCTGGTATTAGTTCAAATAATTCCTTAGAGTACTTTCCATGATACATATGATAGAGAATGCAGAGTCATACATATCTACGTGGCGCCAAGGGGTCAAGCCGATCGGCAATCTTTTGGCTATCGACGATTCGAGTCGCTTTTTGTTGGATGTAGTCCAGAGGGAGAAGCGCCTGGACTTGCGCCTTATAGAGTTGAAGGCAGTGGGCCGGAGTGAAATACAGCCTCGATCTGTTCAACATGTCGAGCTTCTTCGAGACTATTTTAACCTTATTATTTAAGTGACCCCGAAACAGAACTTCGCTCAATATGCCTATGCGTAGGATTCCAAAACTTGCTTAGGGAGGTGCTCTCAAACTAAGGCGATACGACAAACGGTGTCTTCTTTGCGCGCTAAGATAAATACTTACATGAATTTGTAATTCTGTTACTGTTTTACTCTCTGTGTAAAGTGTATTTTATAGACATAGACAATTATATTGGAAGATCAACTCACCACCAATAGAGTTCGAATAAATTCACCAATAGAGTTGATCTTCCAATACAGTTTGTTCCAATAAGTTTTTATCTTTCCAAATAGGGTTTTGGGGGGTATATAGTAAACAATAGGTGATAGCTTTTATCTAAGAGCAGAGGATTAATAACATACTGACAAAGTGCTAGTTGATCTCGAGTGGAGGTTATTTACGGTGAATATTAGTGTACGACTAATTAATTCTCAGAAAAACTTAACATTGTAGTTGAGCACGTTCTCCCACAGATTTTAATAAAAAATATAAATGCGTATGAACTACATTCGAAGATTTATCATTTACGATCTTATATAGAATGGGATACATTTTAAATGCTGCACAGTACGCTGTGAATAAATAACTAATTTCGGTTTTATTTCTCACAAATTTTGGCACAGTAATATCAGTGTGTTGACGAATTAAGAATACGCATTGTCACCACCCCAATCATCCCGTGGGTGTCGTAAGAGCCGACTAAGGGAGCAAACTACGCAGAACAACATCACTGCCAAGAGAAGGAAAACTTGACACAACCCCTATACCAACCCGTCTGGCCAGCGTGGCATAGTAGGTCAAAACCTCCTTTCTAAGGAGAGGCTCAGGCCTAGCAGTGGACTGTTAAAGGCTGTTTATGATGATGGAATATCAGTGTTCTGTTTTTTAATTCGACGCATGGACGAAAGTTGATAACAAATATTCCCAAAAAGAAAACTTACCAAATTAACCAGTGAGATGGCATTGAGACTGATCCCCCACCAGTGCATGACACCAAAGAGGTTCACAATGATCATCGTTATAGTGATCACCACCACCTTCAAGAAACAGTTCACAATTAAATTTTGATGACAACAAATATATATAAGTATATTTTTTTCTTTAACAGCAATATAAATAAAATAAATAAAATTATTTCATCATTTCATTTATTACTAAACTGATCTCATTTTTTGCATCTGCGGTAACGTCATCGAATAAATTTTCATACGTAATCATTTCACATTACACTAAATAGCACAGATTAAAAATAAGTTCAATGTGAAGGTTTTGTTAACCAGAAATTTAAATATGCTTGTATTTAATTCTTACTATATTTAAATGTTGATTACGTAAGAACACGCAATTAAAAGATTAAGTTTCCCAGAGGTTGCAAGCTCAATCTGATATGTGTCAAACACACGTAACCGCTATTTCCAATAAAGGTCGTCGTTGTAAAATTAATACAACATTGTGAAATTAGCTGAGTTATATACTAAAGATTTTAAGTAAAATCTTAATTCCATTTAACACATTGAACTTAATACTTACCAAAGCCAAGTACATATCGAAGCCCATTAAAAGGAAGGTCACTACAAAAATAGACAGTAGCGAAATGGCTAAAGACTTCAGCGTATCCGGCCACATGGTCAGGAATTGTTCATAGAATACATAGAACACTGAATACGGGAACACGTCTACTGTGACAGCCTTTCCCTGTTCACGAAGGTTCCTATTCAAAGTTTCTGTCAGATTTGTAGCCACATTTCTTGCTTCTCTCATTGCGGAATAATAATCTTGACTAGTTTTAAGTACAGTGTGGTACGCTTGAAAATAAGTGGCTCCTATTTTATTATTGTGTTTGTAGTTAACGCCCTGGCTGTAAGCCGCATGTCCTCCTTTGATACATCCACCATCAGGTGCAGGGTTGTCTTGTAAGAAGAAAGGTATATAATGCTTGAAGTTGGTAGTGTTCGGGCGTTGCTCTACACCATGCAGAGGTATTTTGCATAGTTTACAATCAGGTGATATACCTGTAAGTATATTTTTTCATTGAACTATTAGATTACGTTAACTATTTCAAATTACAGTGTTATAGTTTTATCTAAAGAAGCGCCTTTGTTAAATTTTAGGTTCATTGCTACCAGATAGATACATCGGTATAGTGCGGTATGATGCACAATGCTGGAAAATATGCAGAGCGCGAAAAGTTAAAGTCACCAAGTTGTAAATATCTCACAATATAATATATTTTCAAGTCAAATCATATAACAGTAAGGACGATACTCACTTTCGCTCGGGCAAAAACTAGAGTTAGATGGGAAGTACTTGCAGCAGGACTGAGATAAGAAACTCCAGTCAAAGAAGTCGTCCAGCCAAGAGTTGGGCGGCTGTGCTATGTACGTCTCGTTCTGATTACGGTATGCTAAACACACAAATTATTGTCAATACAATACTTCGTCAATATTTAGTCTAATTATTCAATAAAAAACTAAAGCATGATTTCAAATGAATAAAATTACATTGATAAGATCTTGGGCCTCCAGTCACTTTCACAATATTTATCGAATGAGTGCTTACCGGCATAGAGCTGCATAGAGACACTATCAGGACGACAGTATCGCGTACCACATATCATGTTCTGAGTTTCCCTGTCCGAGTAGTCGATACCTTCGGTGAGGACGAAGAAGACAGGAGGACCGATGTTTAGATAACGCTTTAAGAATTGGAAGTACTTCAGTTGGAAACTGTCTTGAGGCATTGATAGCTCTTGGTCGAGACCTATTTCTACATGTGGAGCGACCTAAAGAAAAGGTGCATGTCAGTACATGCCAATACATATTAGATGATGAGACATCATCAAATTGTTTTGTTTTTAAATATATGAAGTTTCATAAGAGAGTTTAGTGTTGCAGACATGATATCAATACTTACGGCTACTGACGAACAAAGCCACGCGAAGAAGAGGATCAAAACAGCGGCTCGGACTTCACGCTTCATCAAGAAAGGAGAGTACACATCTTTGAACATGTTGTACAGCGCTCCCTCTTTGACGTCCGTGCCTGCCTCCTCTTTAGTGCCTTTTACACAGCAGAAAATGTCAAACCTGACAAAAAGGTAATAGTTGAGAGAAAATGTCACAAGTATAAGGTTTTATTAAAGAGCCTACGCATAATGTCCATACTGCCACGAAGCACGTAACGTGTAGCATGAATTCCTAGCACTACACTGTACTGACCTGTTCGCGTTCTGGCGGTGCGTGTCGATGGCGAGCAGCGCCACGAAGCACGTGACCTGCAGCAGGAAGTGCCGTGCTGTACTGAAGGTACTACACTGTACTGACCTGTTCGCGTTCTGGCGGTGCGTGTCGATGGCGAGCAGCGCCACGAAGCACGTGACCTGCAGCAGGAAGTGCCGTGCTGTACTGAAGGTACTACACTGTACTGACCTGTTCGCGTTCTGGCGGTGCGTGTCGAGGGCGAGCAGCGCCACGAAGCACGTGACCTGCAGCAGGAAGTGCCGTGCTGTACTGAAGGTACTACACTGTACTGACCTGTTCGCGTTCTGGCGGTGCGTGTCGATGGCGAGCAGCGCCACGAAGCACGTGACCTGCAGCAGGAAGTGCCGTGCTGTACTGAAGGTACTACACTGTACTGACCTGTTCGCGTTCTGGCGGTGCGTGTCGATGGCGAGCAGCGCCACGAAGCACGTGACCTGCAGCAGGAAGTGCCGTGCTGTACTGAAGGTACTACACTGTACTGACCTGTTCGCGTTCTGGCGGTGCGTGTCGATGGCGAGCAGCGCCACGAAGCACGTGACCTGCAGCAGGAAGTGCCGTGCTGTACTGAAGGTACTACACTGTACTGACCTGTTCGCGTTCTGGCGGTGCGTGTCGATGGCGAGCAGCGCCACGAAGCACGTGACCTGCAGCAGGAAGTGCCGTGCTGTACTGAAGGTACTACACTGTACTGACCTGTTCGCGTTCTGGCGGTGCGTGTCGATGGCGAGCAGCGCCACGAAGCACGTGACCTGCAGCAGGAAGTGCCGTGCTGTACTGAAGGTACTACACTGTACTGACCTGTTCGCGTTCTGTCGGTGCGTGTCGATGGCGAGCAGCGCCACGAAGCACGTGACCTGCAGCAGGAAGTGCCGTGCTGTACTGAAGGTACTACACTGTACTGACCTGTTCGCGTTCTGGCGGTGCGTGTCGATGGCGAGCAGCGCCACGAAGCACGTGACCTGCAGCAGGAAGTGCCGTGCTGTACTGAAGGTACTACACTGTACTGACCTGTTCGCGTTCTGGCGGTGCGTGTCGATGGCGAGCAGCGCCACGAAGCACGTGACCTGCAGCAGGAAGTGCCGTGCTGTACTGAAGGTACTACACTGTACTGACCTGTTCGCGTTCTGGCGGTGCGTGTCGATGGCGAGCAGCGCCACGAAGCACGTGACCTGCAGCAGGAAGTCCACGAGCAGCGCGGCGCCCGCGTACAGCGCGAAGGCGCACACGGCCGGCATGTCGCTCAGCGCGCCCAGGAAGAAGCACACCGACTCCGACGCAGACGTCAGGAACATTGATGGACCCACTTGGCCGAGGCTATTACAAAAAATCATGGCTAACGAAAGATTTTTGCCTTACTTACATATGTACCAAATACAACGGATTAATTTATCAAAATCTTAAGGATAAAACCAGTTAAAATATAGAATTACTAGCGCTACTACCCGCCGCGCCTTCGCATCATGACATCAGACTTCAAATCTTTGGAATTCTCAGATTTTCTCTACCATAATATGCATGTACAAATTTCCAACCCTATTTTATAATGACCACATTTAATCACTAATAGGGGTAGTTTTGAAAAGTCAAAATATAGTTGTCTATTATTTTTTTTGATAGAGAATATAATTATACTGACTTTGGAATCGATAAGTTAAAAATAATAGTTTCCCATACAATCTGCACCCCTTTTTAATGATTGTTGTGAAAAATGAGTAACAACATTTTTTATTACTTATAATAAAGAATATTTACTGTGAGTTTTAAAACCTTACTACAAAAAATAACTAAGGTTCAACTAAATTTCCAGCCTCACTTTGCAACCCATTATGGAGTGGATTTTAAAAAATCCTTTCTTAATGCACATCTACCTCACCTAAGGAACATTTGTGCAACATGCTTCTAGACCCAGCGGTTTCAGCAGTGCATTGCTCGATCAGTTAGTGAAGCAGTCAGTCACATTCAACATCAACAGCCTATCATAGTCCACTGCTGGACATAGGCCTCTCCTTAGAAAGGAGGTTTTGGCCTGCTATACCACGCTGGCCAGACGGGTTGGTATAGGGTTTGTTGCAATCCAGGAGTTTCCCTGGTGGTCGGGCGCATTGAGGCGTTGGGTTTGCGGGTGGCCCTGGATAAGACGGAGGCCCTATTATTTCACGGGCCCCGTCGTGGTCCACCCGCCGGCACCTCAATCGAGGTCGGCTCGGTCCTCGTACCGGTCCGGGCCCAGATGAGGTACCTGGGTCTGGTCCTAGACGGTAGGTGGCTCTTCGACGAGCACTTCCGACAGCTTAATCCGAAGCTGGTGGACACTGCCTCCGCCCTAGGGCGACTTTTGCCAAATTTGGGCGGGGCCAGTGTTCCCACGAGGCGGCTGTACGCGGGGGTTGTCCGGTCCATGGCGCTTTATGGTGCACCGGTGTGGGTGGCGGCTCTGACCGCCCCGAATAGGGCGCGCCTCTGGCGCCCCCAGAGGATATTGGCGGTCAGAGCCATACGCGGATACCGCACGGTGTCCACCGAGGCGGCTTGCGCCTTGGCCGGAACACCCCCGTGGGATTTGGAGGCGGAAGTGCTCGCCGAAGTTTATCGGCGAGTGGCTGACTTCCGGGCGGAGAGCGGATTTCGCCCTCCGCCCGAAGACGTGCGCGAGTGGCGCGAAGCCGCTCGCCGAGCCACTATGGTGAGATGGTCGTTCCGGCTGGAGACTCCACGCGCTGGCTTCGCCGCCGTGGAGGCTCTCCAGCCGGTCATCGCCGAGTGGGCAGGGCGGCAGCACGGGACCCTTTCCTTCCGGCTGACGCAGGTGCTTTCCGGGCACGGTTGCTTCGGAAAGTACCTGTACTCGGTCGCTAGGAGGGAATCGAGTCCCGCCTGCCAACACTGCGACTGCGGTGAGGATTCGGCCCAGCACACGGCGGCTGCCCCGCGGCGGTTTGCCCCGCATGGGCGACGCAGCGCCGGGCCCTCACCGGAGTCAGTCACCGGGCAGTCATCGGAGCAGATCTCTCGCTACCGGCCGTAATTCGCTCCATGGCCGGTAGCGACAGTTGTTTTACCGCGGTCGCAACCTTCTGCGAGGAGGTAATCTCGCAGAAGGAGGCGGCGGAGAAGGCCCGGGAGGACGACCTCCACTCGGACCTGATTCGCCGCCGGCGAACCGGGCGGCGGAGGCGCGCTTACCTGCGCCTCATGCCGCCCTGAGTGTGGCCGCGGGTGAACGGGATGGGTTCTCCCCTCCACCCGCATTAGTTGGCCAGCCGCGAGGGGGCGGCGTCCGCGTGTGCCGGACGTCGCCTAAAGAGAGGGTCCACTGAGACGGAGCCCGCATTAGGAGCGGGCCGGCGCTGGGAGGGGTCCAGAAGGATATAGCTACCTGGACCCCTCCTAAACTGGAAGCGCAAAGAGGGCACACCGTGTGGTTTTAGTCGGTTCGAGTCCGACACACCGCCCCGCCAAACGAGAGCCCCGGCGGGGTGACGGTCCGAGGGGATTTCCACACGTAAAAAAAAAAAAAAAAAAAAAAGGGTTTGTTGCAAGTTTTCCTTCTTTTTGCAGCTGTTGTCCTGTGCAGCTTGTTCCCTTGGTCGGCTTTTACGACACCCACGGGATGAATAGGGGTGGTAACATTCCGTATTCTTAATCCGTCACCACACGGATCAGTCACATTATTTTATAGATATTGATAATCCCATACACAAATTCACAATATCTTATAGGGTTATAGATACAAGGATTCACTCCCAAGGGTCACATTGCTCTACAGCCTAAAAAATTATAGCTGAAGCTAAAAACCCAGAACAGAAGAAGAAACACGTCACGATAACGAGAGTGTTAGAAGAGATCTGACAATAACTCTCCAACTGCGAATACCTCGGTCGCTTTCCTAAAGAACTAGAAAATCCAGTCCCTGACAAAAAAAGATTTATGCAAATCTGTGACTGAACAAACAATTTCTTCAAGTAGTTCTGTAACATTTTTTTATGTAAACTAAGGTACATCAAGAATTAAAAAACTATAAAAATTGCCTGGAATACTTACGTTCTCCCAATTTGTTTGGGGACACTTTCATTCGGCTTCCTCTTTATTCTTTGGTTAGTCTGAACAAGAATAAATATGTTGTCAACTCCGACCGCAAGTACCAGAAATGGAATCACTTCGATGATTATCAACGATGCAGATACACCTGCATAACTGAATATGCCAATGGAACATACGACAGATGCTAACACGATGATTACACCTGGAAATAAACATCAGGATGAAATGGCTTCTGGCAAATCATGTTCAAAATTACGGAATGGTCAATTTTTTTCGAGATTTTTCTTTTAACAGAGAAGAACGTAAGCGTTTTTCAGTAGCACTAACTATAACTGCTATGACAAAGGCCAAAGTAAGTTATTGTCGGCGCTTTGCCTACTTCAGTCATGGCCATCGTAAAAAAGAGAAAATTATCACTCACCTCCAAGTCCCAACGTAACTTTACTGTCTATGAGTATCCGGGAGAAGCTGGTGAACCTGCCCAAAGATATCGCGATATAAGCGAACATGATGACGTAAGAGACGAGGATAGTAGACACGTCGGACTGAGACTCCCGTTCCAGCTCATCCTCGATGGACCGCTCCGAGGTGTACGCTATATCCATGTACGGAGGCATTTGGGTCTCCGTGTAGTTCTTCATGAAGTTTATGAACTCTTTCTCCCATTTCAACACCGGTCTCAGCTAGAAATTGAAATTAAATACTTGCATACCTATCGTTTCTTTCAACTTGATTAGAAAAGTCGCAGTCCAATAATCTATCGCATTAGCCTTTTTTAATAATTGTTTTTATGGTATAGAAGGGCAAACAAGCGTACGAGTCACCTGATAGATAATAAGTAACTACCGCCACCCATGGACACGGACACAACGAAATTGTGACTTAAGTAGCAGGTGCTTAAGTCTGAAGTTCGTTGACGCCCTTTGAGCATCCCACCCCTCCCCCCTCCAGAAATTGAGGGAGGTGTGTTTTAGGCTCCGGTTAGATTGTGGAGGAACGGGTGTCGTGTCCCTCCAACACAAAGGGGGATTCTCCCACCAGGCGAGGTGATCATGCCTGGCGGGCCGAGGCCCAACGGTTGATGTTGGGAATTTGTATATATGCTAATCGGCGAGAGAATAGTTTTTTTTTTTTTTGGAGACAACTCCCGCATTAGGAATATATCCTGTGTCGCGGAGGATTTTACGAACACACATGAAACGGGCACAAAGAACACCCAGACTCAGAATAACAATTTGTGGATCACAAAGTGTCGTCCCATGTGTGATTTAAACCCACAACACTGGAAGCGGCGTGGCGACCGCTTAAACCACTACGCGATCCGTGCAGTCTAGTGTTAATATCGCGATACAGAATTAGTAATTCTCATTCAGGAGTTACTCCGTAGTTCGGTGTGTCTTCATATAGATGGCGCTGTAGTATGTTTCTGTGTCTTTGTATGCGGGAGTCGCCACAAGATCATCATCAACGGCATTTAATAGTCCAATGCTAGACATAGGCCTCTTCTTAAAAAAGAGGCTTTAGCCTACTATACCACCCTGGCCAGACGGTGGCATAAGGGTTGCTGTTATCCGCGTAGCTTGCCCTCTTAGTCGGCTGTTACGATACCCACGGGATGAATAGGGGTGGTGACACTCCGTATTCTTAATCTGATGGATGGCTAGATAAGTATATTTATTTTTATTTAATTCTACATCTTTAATACCTGAGTACCTATGCCAGAAGTATTATTAATACGAACCTGTTCCATGTCCTTCTTATTGTTGACTAGGAAGGTGATTATCAGCGCGTTGGCCTCGTGGAACCGCGATCGCTTGGTGAGGGGCTCGCCAGGTTTCAAGAAACCGCCCAGAGCCACTGCCGGGAGGACGGGGCCTTTGAAGTTCGAAAGGCACTCTTTCAGGTATGGATTCCTTAAAATAGTTTTCTTCATAAGAAAGTTTTAAAACATTTAGGTACATGTTTTTATTTAAGAAATATGTTTAAAATGTAAAGAACTATAAACATAATCATAATTACTGTGTTGAAAAGTTTTAATATGTTAATTCTACTTGTGTGTTCTTTGGTCATATTTTTTCGGTATATTGAAGCCTATAAACATGTTAACGGTTGATCGCTATTTACTCCACACTATAATAATTAAGTATAAACAATTTTCCGGCATCATCCAGGGAACCACAGCCTACCAAGTATGATAAGAGATGGCCTGTTCAGGGGACATCGCATGCCCTGTAGTAAGAATAAACTACTTTTAAATGTATGTTATTTTGTGTTTGTCCTTTTTTTAATATTTATTTGTGTACAAAACGTTTATAGACTTATATTTGGAAGAAAAAAATGTTCAGGATTCTGATATATATATATATCGGTTTTCAATTATCACACATATAACAAGTTCCATATTAACATGGCAATAGTTTTTTTGACACGGCGATATTTTATTGTCACGCAGACAGATTTTGTTCATTGCAATCCAATTTTGAGCTATATAGTACTCACCTAGAACACAATAGAATTTGATCGAGATAAGTATCGGACTCCAGTCCTTCGATTTCATTCTGGAACCACCCAAATACGGTCATGACGGCGCACTGGTCCGGCGTCACGGGCCCGCTGAACGGAGACGACAGCGGAGCGAAGCAGATGTCCTCGATGCCCGTCTCGTTACCCAGAGCTAGTGTTAAATGACACACGAACACAGAATTGACAAATAACTATTTAGATGGTAAAAATGTTAAAAAAAAAAGTTGACAACTATGCTGCTGAATTAATATATGTATTGTTTATTATCACGAACTGGGAGGGACTCCAAGGGCAGTAACGCACTTGTGACTTTTGAGGCGCAGGTGTCCATGGGCGGCGGTAGTTGCTTACCATCAGTTGACCCGTCTGCTCGCCGCTATACAATAAAAAAAAACTCGAAACATTGCCATTTCCGATTTCGTGCAAATTTTTAGCTACATGCACACAGAGTGGCACGGGGCGTTACCTAGAGCTAGCGTTAAATGAATAACTCGCAATGAATGAATTTGCAAATAAATATTTAGATAAAATGTTAAAAAGCTGACAACTGTACTGCTGTATTGATATATTATTTATTAACGCGAACTCGAAACAGTGCCATTTCCGATTTCCTGCAAAACTTTTAGATCCATGCACACACAGTATAAAAACAGTTATCTATGTTTTAGGACCCATTTACCCCTTCTCATCCATCATAAAAAAACGTTATTCAACTTTCTTATTACAGAAACACATAATATTTTTGGTTATAAGCCAAACCTTCAAGAAAAGAGCGAACTCCAACCTTACAGGGTGGTAGTGCACTTGTGACTTCTGAGCTACAGGCGTTCATGGGCGACGGTAGTCGCTTTCTATCAGGTGACTCGTCTGCTCGTTTACCCCTATATCATAAAAAGCCGTGATTACGTATTGCGTTAATATAATTAGAACTTACCTAATATTTTCTCCTGCAGATTAAACACATCTTGTAGGAAATTAAAATTGAACACAGGCCCGAAAGTAATATTCCCAGATGGCGTGGAATGCTCAATGGAGGGTAAACCTTTTGAAGTTATGATCAACATCTCTGTCCTGAGAAATAGAAACACTAATTTTTAAATGAGAGTCGTTATAAATAGTAAATCCTCATTCCTTAATTTTCATTACCACATGGAAACTATACCCTCCCAAGTAAAAAAATAATTTACCTAATCAGATCATAAATTACGGAGTTAGTTAAAAACCTCCTCATGTTTTTGATTAAAAGCAACCATTACTTCTTATAAACTATTTACCTATAGAATGGTTCGAAGTGGGAGTCGAAATAATCTTTTTCTATGCGCGATCTTGTATTTGGTGCTGCCCACAGCTCTACTGGATTCATTGTTACTTGCATATAAATAATTCCACAACCCAAAGCTACTACCATGAGTAGACCTGTAAAAAAATTCATCAGTTAACATTACTTCTAGCGAAGCCGTAAAGGGGTAGGCTTCCTAAAGCAATTATTTAGCTCAGTTGTTGGGGTTTTGCGACCCATGGTAGCGTACTATATGTAGTTATGCATCAGCTAAATACCAGTTGACGTCTAGACCATGCGGGAATCGATCAAGATTTGTGCTATCTCATTTCCTCGTATTTGGTTTCATTTATGATGTTACCAAACGGGACAAATGACGGGCTTGATGGGCAAGGCTACCTTTTTAAAAAGACAATTCCCGCACTAAGAAAACTCATGGGGGACTTTACAAACATTCATTCAAATGTACACAAAGAACACCCAGACTCAGAACAACAATTTGTGGATCACACATGGAACAAATGTTGTTCCATGTGGGGATCGAACCCACAACGTCAGAGTAGTAGGAAGCGGCAAATTGACTGCTTAAACCACTACTACCATCCGTGCACTAACACGTAACAGCGTTTGTGCACGTGCACACGTGCACAAACGCCACTAACTAAACTAACTTCCAAATGATTAAACTAACCAATGAACAATACGAGCCACGGTCTAGAAGCCATGATGTACCCCCACCACTGAAAGAAGTCTTCAATTCTCTTTTCAGTTCCGGCTCCTAACTTCTCTAAGAACGTTGCTTCACCAGTGACCTCTTGTGGATCCAATCCGAAGCTGTCGGATACAGGATTTGTCACTATTTCTTCATTGTTTTCTGCCGTTGCACCAACTATGTTTAAAACAACATATTAAGTGTAAAATTAGAAGATCAACGCGACCACTATACTGACCGAGTTGAAAAAGAATTAAGCAGAAAATAAAAAATACTATCTCTGAAATATCTATAACTAGATATTTGCTTAAACAATATATTTGACACATTTAATATGTGTTATGTCATGTATAATATCCCTTTCTTCTTCTTCTTTCTTTCTGAAATCTGAAAGACATCCACTACTGGACATAGGCCTCCCCCAAGTTTGATATCCTTTAACAATTAGATCTTATCGTATTAATTTTATTCATTGTATATTGTAATAATTTTCGGTGACACCCAGACCAATACAAATACACATGTTTCAGCTGAAATAGAACCCATGACCTTCGCGTGGCAGTTGATTACACTACCGCTGTATAAGACTCTGTTTTCATAACACATTAGAATAATGAAATTGATTAGGTACAACAATAATAGTGTCGATTATGTCGTATTTATGACGATTTGTCCATCCAAAGGTTGCCGTAAGCTATTAGCGTCTGTAATATTTAACTAACATACTGTAATTGATGTACAATAAAGCATATTCCATTATTTTCTAATAGTGGAACTTAAGGTTTGAAAAGCACCTACCGTCATATTTCTCTTGCCGGTTGCAAAATAATGTGCAGTGAAGGAAAACAATTGTGCACAACACGAAAATGATAGCCATGATTAATGCTTCGTTTATCTTCCAGGCTTTTGGCAGTTGGTGCGGCTTTGGTGCTGGACACGATAAGTCGCAGTCGAGACACGAACACCCAGGTTCGCCCTGTAACATTATAACTTTTGAGAAACAAAAAAAAATGTATTTTGTATTTCAGTTTGCTACTAAAGAATTTTTATATGAAGTTATAAGACTTTCTGTTGACTACTTATCAGGACGTGAACTAACGGTACTTACAATAAACCTTAGTGGTCTTCAGTACCTAAAAATTAATGTTGTGTTTCTTTTAAATGTTAAATAAATAAGAGACAGAGAGAGAGAGAGAGATTTATCATACTAACTTTTCCTAATTGCCATAGTCTGCCTTCGCCGTCTAACTCCGACAAGTTCTCAGAGACACAGAGAAATACATAGAGTACCTTTCCTCCAGGAAAAAAAGTCTTTAGGAAAACTTCATTAAACACATACCTCTCTTCCAACATTGCAGGGTCTGGTTGGAGGATCGAACGGCGTTAGACTTCTTGAGGAATCAGTATAATTCCTATAATTGACCTGGAATGGCACTTTCTCCACAGCTTCTGCGTCACCCATGAACTTGAACCAGAATTCTGCAGTACAGTCAGGGCCATAATCGCCACACATTAAGTGTATAACTACTTCATTACTCGACGGGATTTGTACCTGGAAGCATAACCAAAAATCTTTTATATGCTCGATATCAATTCGATATAGATTAACTATTCTGTTGCGTTGTAAAGAAAAAGTTCATACAATTCACTGACTTCAACCAATTCTGATATGAATTTGTGCTGCTGTTGACGTTTTCCTACTAAAATACTTAATATATTTGATCGTCTTAGAAGTCAAACTCTGGACCTCATGATCGCTAGCAGTCATACGCGAGACCTTATCCAATCAGTGCTTGTTATACGTTTCTAAACTTTGCTAACAATAAACGAGTACTTTACCTGAGAACATGAGTCAAACGTAGCTTGCATGTATGTTTCGCTGAGGTGATAGTCTACCGACACTACCTGCTCGTGTGTTTCTAGAACCAAAGGGAAAAGAGATTTTAAATATCGTGATTAATATTTTTATGAAAACTGTAAATTCAATTTTATAGATACATGTCAAATACAAATAATATGCGAGGCAAATTCCCAAATGCATTTTTTTTTTATTGAAAACTGCCGCATTAGGGATATATCCTATGTCGTGGGGGACTTTACAAACATACATGAAACGGACACAACGATAACCCAGACTTCGAACAAAAATTTTTGGATCACACAAAGTGTTGTTCCACGTGGGGATCGAACCCATAACACCCAGCGCAGTAGAAAGCGGCGTGGCGACATCTTAAACCAATACGCCATCCGTGCAGTCACACTAGATGAACTAGATGATATATGAACATGGTCACATTTTATGAACTGTAATTTACTGAATTTTACTCTCGTAATAAGGACAAGCATTTCGCCGTCAACCGGACACACGAAAATAAAAGATAGAGAATGGGAAACGGAATCGAAAGCAATAACCAAGAAGTTCAGTAAGTTGTAAGTCGAAGAAACTATTGCCGGAGAGTGAGAGCTCTCTAGCATAAATAACTAGTCTCTCAGGGCCTTATTCTTAAATCATTATTCATGTTCTCGCCTTTTCAGTTCAGCAATTTTCATTGGTGTAATAAATAGCAAATAAGTATTTACAAAGAGTTCCCTTGAGTTATATAGTAATGTTTTTTCACAATGGCTCTGCCTATTCAAGAAAGTTCTATACGAGTATTAATGAAGTTTCATGTGTTCCTTTGTAATCGCAATCAAACTGCACATATAATTAAAATGCCCTCAAGAAGCGAATCGAACAGAAATGACGATTTCTACTCCCAGGTCGACTTATTAGTACTTAGATATGGCAATTTTTTGATGTAGCAGTGGGCCAAGTGCGAGTTTATTTCACATGAACTCGGTCTCGACAAAAAGCACGTCTGCGCTGAACTCTACACCAATCACAGCGCCGAACGTGGTCACCTTGACAATCGAGTAGAAGTGAAATAAGCTTACACTAGGACCTCTGGTGGCAAGAAACACAAGGGACTATTGTGCCTATCCCCCCCCCCCCCCCTTCAATCACTCGGCGAAAATCAAAACTATTGCTTAATACTGGATTTCTGTGATGCCACGGTGTAATTCCCGTCGAGCCTGCTTATATGTGTGTGTGTAAAGTTCCTTATAACTGTGAGTGGATCATGAAAAACATTCACTTACTATTGTACGGTATGATGTTAGGGTACAGATAATCGCTTTGGTTCACCCCACAGGTCATTGCGCAAATGTGTGTCAGGAAATTGTCTAAGCACGATGGACATCTATTAATTATGTTCTCCACGTTCTGAATCTTCTCACTCATTTTCTCGAGCTGTTCATAACTGCAGCATGATGTATTACCTTTCGCTTCGTCGGGGCAGTATTTTTCTAGAATGGCCTGTAAAAAGAAAATGTGAAATTTAATAGCTTTATGCATCTCACACACGGCAGTCTGAACCCTAACTAGGCAGAGCCTGTGCTATGATAACCAACTGATAAACATACTTATATATTTCAAACTACGTACCTACATATTATAGACAAATTACATCCAAACCTAGACAAAATGATTGTGCCTATCACACAAATAATTGTCCTGGATAGCGATCGAACCCACGACCTACGGCTTAACGGTCTGGGTCACTAAATCAACAGGCTCGTCAAATTTTTCTTTTACTGAACATCAACTTCAGTTTAAACAATAATACAGGGACTTGGAAGCTGTCAGATCCATTTAAAAAAATAACCTTATTATTATTTTTAAAGGCCTCAAAACGATAGAGAACATTTTACGATGTATTACGAGTACAAGTGTGGTAAATAATAATAATAAACCTCACACATCTCACATACGGCAATCTGATCCCAAACAAGGCAGAGCCTGTACTATGATAACCGGGTGGGAATCAAACCCACGATCTCCGTCTTAGCAGTCAGCGTCACTAACCACAAGACCAAAGGCTCGTCAATAAATACTCTTATCAAACTGTATACAAAAAAGTCCAAATAATAATCTCACTTGCAGTACTTACGATAAGCTCTTTCCTTCCTGTGTTAAATTATGTATGATTTTTTTTTAAGGAAAACATAAGTTTATTCAAACATTTTCCTTGTGTTATAAATTAATATACTAATACATATATAATAGTACATAATACTCTGACGTTCCAGGGGCCTTAATTATAATACGGGACTCGCGACTTTGTTCGTGTGGAATTTGAAAAGCGCTGCCTTAGTGGGTTCGATTCCCGGGCTGGGCAAAATTTTAAAGTGTTTTTATGAGAGGAAAATAGGCTAAGTTACTCATTATATAGACAGCTACCTGGTAGTAAAATATTATCAAAATCGGTCCACCACTTTAGATGATTACTCGGAACAGACAGACATTTTTTTTACTGGTATTTAGGCATAGGTATCGTGCAAATAATCGTGTGAGCAAGAAAAAAACCTATTATTTTGACATAACAAACAGACACTTCAATTTTATTTGTTTGTATAGAGTAACAGTTCCTTTTGTTTTTTTATGATAAGGGGGGGGGGGGCGGTAGGACCTACTCGTATTATGGAGGATTGACTCAGCTGATTGACAACGGCTGACGCAGGTGATCACTGGGAAATTATTCTTCGGAGATTACCTGTATCTGATCCGCAAGGGGCCAACGACTGAGTGCCACCACTGCGATGGCCGGACCGTGGGTGGAGCAAAGGCGTAGCCTCGTGGCGGCCGTCGGAGTCGGAGAGAATTTCCATTCTCTCGCTCGATAACATGATTGCCGCCATGGTACGGAGCGAGAGTGCATGGAACTTACAAGTCACTTGATAGAGAGTGGCTACTAAAGAACTGCTTAACACCGAGTTTCAGTTCAACTACTGCCTCGGTGGTGCAATAGTAGCGTATGTGACTGCTGTGCTGAGGGGGTCGGGTTCGATTCCTGGGTCGGACCAAATGTTTGTATAATCTACAAATATTTGATCTACAAATATGTATGTGACCGAAAATTGAAGTAGTATGTAATCTGCTAGTCTTAGTAATTATTTACTAATTTACTACAAAAATACCTTTTATGACAGTTGTGAAATCGAAAGTTGAACAGAACTGAATTGTGACCGAATTTTTATTACGAGAATTGACCTTCAGTTTTACTACTCGTATTAGGCCGTATCCGGTCTCTGGTCGATTCGAACCATATATGAACCTCAACATGGCTTTCCCATGGCATCAGAATTGTGTGTTCCATAAGATTAATAAATGAGATGGATAGATACTCACTCTGGAACCATCTTCTATCGGCAATGCCGTACCATTGTATGAGCAGTAAGTATACTTTTCACCGGTCTGGTTGCACACTCCATACCAGATGCAGTGACCTTCTGAAGAAGCAGATGGTAACTGCAATAAGAAAACAAATTACTGTTTAGTTAGTCGTTTATTTCACTGAACCACGGAATAAATACTAATCCTGCATCGTGGTATGATAGTTCTCACGCCGATTAGCTTCAACATGAAATGTTCAAACGTATGACTTGGCCTCGACACATAGGGATACTTCCCGTTATCAACTGCTGAGCCTTAATCCGCCAGATATGATCACTTTGCTTGGTTAGAGGGTCCTCCCTTTATGTTGGAGAGACATACCACTCGTTTCTTCCCAGGATACACAAAGTCTTTGTACAGTTTTATAATTTCTTATATTTTTTTAGATTTGAGTTCCTAAAATCCTTCTACGAACTTCAGGTTTGGTATACTTAGAGGGTTTATAAAAGGAGTTCTTGGGTCCACTGATTTATTAGTTTTGGTTACTATTTGAAAACAGACGGTTGCACATAGCTCGACCCAGATCTATCGTTATTTGGATATTAAAAAGTTTGCTACTATTTCCGTCCGATTCAAGATACTCAATGTTTTTTTTTTATTCCTCTAACAACGTTTTTTGTGAATCCACATTTACACTTCGATAGGACCAGATCTTAAGGCCTACCTAAAACAAACAATTGAACAAATTTGCTTTCACATTTATGGACTTGTTGCGATGTTGTTATTGCATAACCAACCCGTCTGGCCAGCGTGGTATAGTAGGCCAAAACCTCCTTTCTAAGGAGAGGCTTATGTCCAGCAGTGGACTATTAAAGGCTGTTGATGATGATGTTATTGCATGTCCATCTATATTATACTAATATTATTATAAAACTTTGTTTGGTTTGGTTTTGAAAAGAGTTTGGTTGAACGCGATAATCTCAGGCACGAAATCAGGTTCGAATTGAAAAAATATTTTCGCTCTGGATAGCCTATTTATCGATGTAGGCTATATAACATCACGCTACGACCAATGGGAGTGGAGCATAAATGAAAAATAATAGTAAAAACTGAAAGTTGCGCGGGTCAGCCAGTAGTTGAATAAAATACAAATCGAAACAATTTTATGAAAAAGAGGATTGACTTTGACTACATCGAATTAAGCTCTAGTGGGACGTCTGGCAGATGTTATACCTACATATCTACATCAAAATTATTTTGTAGAAGTTATTGTGGCGATGTGTCGCCGCACCGTCAACCGGTCTGATTATTTTTGATTCGATTATTCACTTCAAAAAACTTAGTTACGGATTTTTAACCGTATTCTAAAAGCCTAAGTATAAGCTATATTTAGCTTGAGTCTAAACAAATCTATGTAATATGTCCTAGAATGTTGCTATTGCTATTGTAAAATTTCTACACCCTGACTCCTGTACTATACTAATAGAATATGCAATATTTGTGTAATATTTTCCTTGACGGGATATCCTCCTATTGTTAACGATTGGATCGACTTCAATACAAATAATTATTCTCAATACTGACTGTTATTTGCTATTTCCGTACATAACTTGGTTTGGTCATTTAGGTATGACTACAAATTATTTTAATCCGTGTGGTGACGGATTAGGAATACAGAGTGTCACCACCCAGTGTTCATCCCGTGGGTGTCGTAAGAGAAAAAACTACGTAGAACAACAGCACTGCCGAGAGAAGGAAAACTTGACACAAACCCTATACCAACCTGTCTGGCCAGCGTGGTATAGTAGGCCAAAACCTCCTTTCCAAGGAGAGGCTTGTGTCCAGCAGTGGACTAATAAAGGCTGTCGATGTGATGATGATGTGTGACAAATTCTTTTTAGAAAATTAACATTGAAAAATATTATACACGCATTGATGGGTATATAATTAAATGTGCCTACATGATGGTGCATCGTAATAAACTTTACCTACTTATTCTTCTTTCTCTAATTCTCACCTATAAGGGTAGAATTAAAGAAAGTCGCTAGCAGCGGATGGATGCGAACTGACCAAGACAGGGATGGTTGGCGCTCCTTAGGAGAGCCTTCTTTCAGCGGTGGACGGCGTTAGGTCGATGATGATGAGGTGAAAGCTATGAAAGAAATCAACCCCAGGTTTTGTGTTTCCGCTGGTAAGCAGAGCTAAGTAACAGGAATTAAGGCGTATGGGTAAAACGGTAACAACCGTATACCGGTAACTGCTACTATCGAAGAACCCGTTGAATGTTTGAGATGAGATCAAAATTAAATTCAAATAACAGAAATACTTACATAGTTCATTAAATGTAGAAACAGTAAAAGCTCCAAGAAGACAGGTAAGAAACGTTTGAAAAATCCTCCATATTTAAACATATTTATTTTTTACTCAATTTAGAACATTAAGATATGAGATATATATATTATATTATATTTATTATTATTATTATTTATTTACACATAATACGTCGACGTAACACAACGTAACACGAGTAATGCGGTATAAATTATACACTTTTAGCTTGTACCAAACCTATATTTATACTAATACTGTACAGCTTTACTCTGTTGTTCCCAGTCGAATGCCTATTCTAAGTATATTTTCATTGAATATCCTGAAAATAATAATTTAAGCATACCGATAACGAACGGAATTAGCAACTAGATATGAGATGTATGCAAGGAACAGGTATGCAGATTAGGTATTTTGCACGTACATGTTAATCGTTCCGAATATTAGGTTCAGCAGATTTGCCCGCTCTTTCGAAGAATGCTTTCGAAGTTTCATGGCTAAGTAATGGCTTATACGTTCAGATTTTGACAGACAGACAGACCAAATAGCACGACCTGTTCGTCAAGGGACAGGCTCAAGGGCTAATTATAGATAATTATCTATATATTATATTATATAGTATTATGATACTACTTGACAACAAAACTAACTGTGAAATATCCTGGATAATATCTACCTATCGGTTATTAATGACAAACATTTAATTATGTAGTAAAGGAATGTTATTAAACAGTTATTTATTTTTTGGATTAGATAAAAAACATACCTAATAACCAATACCTGTTACCAATTCTAATCATAACGACAGTAATTAATTACTTTAAAATGAAACACAGGAGTATGACAACATGTTTATTCACAAAAATAAATAAAAGATCTTACTTTCTACAAATTCAGGTGGACCGACAATTAATAACTAATGATAACATTAAGTACATGCTAACCCTTGACCAAGAAAAATAAGTTGGCTTACCCAGAACTAAGCAATTTTTGATATATTAGTTACATAATCTATACTGATATTATCTGTAAAATTTGTTTGTTTGGTTGAACGCGCTAATCTCAGGTACTACTGTCTACGACTGCCTATTTACTTAGGAAGGCTATATTACTGCCTATTTACTGAGGAAGGCTATATTATAACATCACGTTATCACCAATAGGAGCCGAGCGTTGATGAAAATTGTTGTAAAAACGAAGTCAGCTGGGTATTTAAAAGCGAGTTTTTTTATTTTTCGGATGAAGTTACTTTAGCAATAAGTTACTTCGCTCCTTGATAAAGAGCTGTTCAGCAGTCGAAACTAGTCCAGCACCTCCGAAGCTCATGTCAGTCTATCTACATTAATATAATAAAGCTGATGACTTTTTAACCGAATTCAAAAGGAGGAGGTTATCAATTCGGATGTTTATATATATTTTTTATGTATGTTCGGGCATAACTCCGCCATATATAGACGGATTTGCAAAATTCCTGATTCCGAAACGTTCCCATTTAAACTTCATATAGATCTGATGATGAGTTTCGAAGAATGACAACGGAACTCTAACAAAAATGACCGCGATTGCTACTAGGTTTTTAGCTTTTTCTTCAAAAGGAAGAGGAGGATTTTTATTATACACTCGAAAAGCAAATCGCTCCTGGAGCAGTCGGGTAAATCAAATAGTTATTGGATTAAACATATCATTTAGGTTAATCGTAATATTTTCAATTAAAAAGTTTAACATTGGAAAAATTGCTTGTCAATAACAAACCAATTGTTTACCATCAATGTGCCACAAAATGATTTTTTTTTTATACTTTACTTGTAGTTCAATAGATGGCGTTGATTCGTTTTACATAAACGCGCTATTAATATGATCATAATGATGTTCAATAAAGTCGTCTGTATAGGTGATAAAATAAACAGAAAGTTCAAAAGATAGATTGTGTTTCATTAGTAAGCCCTCTAGTCTTTACACTAGGACAAGGAGTTCAACTTTAGTCTAGGTAGCTAACACCAATTATGAGATTTTTTTAATAACATTAAAATTTCTGTATAAAAACTAGATAAAAGCGCTCAGTACCTCCTTATATTTTATTAATCAAGGGTTTGAATGACTAATAATCAATATCACAATTCATCACACTCGGCTAAAGCCAAGTGATGCAGTTTCCGTTAGTTTTTTGAACATGATGAAGACAACCACAAGTAATAGTTCCCCATCATCCTACTTAGCTGTTAATGTTAAACATATCTCCAAGCCCGAAAAATGTACATTTTATTTAAATGTACAGCTGCCAAAGTTCTAAGTTGTGGAGAACACATACCACATCCCAGTAAAGTGTGCACAGAAAGAGACTTACACTTATAGAGATATAACCATAGAGAGAACACGACCTACAGCTGTAAGTGGAAGCGATACAGGCAACGAGAGAGACAGATCTCTCTCTGTTTAGCTAAGCTGCGATTAGCTACTTAATAACCCCTCATATTTCCCAGCCAACCACAGAGATCGGCTAGAAAGAGATAGAGGATAACTACTATCCCTCTCTCGTTACCCATATTGCAAGATTGAGGCTCCGTCTAGGTTATATCTCTATGCTTACACTTCTCTAGACTTTGACATGTTGAAAGAAATGACAGATTTGACAATGGTGCTAATTCTATTGTTCGAAAACTCTTTAAACTAATCTAAAAATCACTTTGTTGAGTTCTGTCAAACGGTGTTTCGTATTCTGAAAACTTAGTACTTAAAAGGACAATTTCTTAGTGATTTTTAATTTAGTTTAGAGAGTCTTCTAACAGAATTAGCGACTTTACCGCTCAATAACATAATTAATATAGAGTCATTACACATTAGTTAGTCATTACTATACATATAATACTGCTTATTACCGTCCACTACTGAACGAAGATCCAACCATCCCGATCCCGGGCACTCCGCACCCACTGCCAGCCATTTTCCTCAAGTCATCGATCCATTATCCATATATATCATACTACATAATAATGTAATTTCTGACAATAGGAAGAACTTTGGAGTATGTAATAGTATTTTAGGCTTACTGATATCGGACATAGCCAGATTACTGCATAACCAATTTAAGTTAACCGCTAATCATTAACAGAATTTATGTATCAAAGGTATCATTCTATACATACATGTATAGTATATATAGCATATTTTTTTTTATTAAAAAGCTACTCCCGCACTAAGAATAAATCCTGTGTCGCGGGGGACTTTACAAACATACATTAACCGGACACGAAGAACATCCAGACTCAAAACAACAATTTGTGAATCACACAAAGTGTTGTCCCATATGGGGATCGGACCCACAACACTCAACGCCGTAGGAAGCGGCGGCGGGGTGACCGCTTAAACCACCAACCAAATTTAAGTATTTATGTAGAAATGGATAACAAATGGATAATTACATTATTGAGCGGCATTGATACATTTGACAATGCTTATTAAATAAACAGAAAAAATAACATCATAGTCACTCAAATTCATTTGAATGACAAAATAAATCCTTTTTACATTAATATTTTTTGTATCTATTTATAATGACTTGTCCTTCTTTATCAAATCAAAATATTTACACGGTATATTAAATTATGTTATCTGTTTGTTGCAGTTAATCTCCGGCAAATTATTAGACCACTTTTCTGAGATGGCGGTCGGTTAGAGTCCAACATAACCACCGGTGAGTAGTATCCGAGGGAATTTCTGCACAGAAAAAAGAAAAGAGGACAGCTGGTATTTAAATATGTACGTAAGAGCGAAGAATCGAAGAAAACAGCTAATAATCTATACAAGTAAATAAAATTGGAGTGTCTGTTTGTAATATTAAAATAACCGCTTTTTAATAAATGCATATGTATGTTTACACGGTACATATGCCAAAATAACATTTTTTACAATTTCTGTCTGTCTGTTTGTTCCGGGTAATCTCTGGAACGGCTGGACCGATTTCGACGGGACTTTCGATGGCAGAAAGCTGATGACATAAGGAGTAACTTAGGCTACTTTTTTAAGACTAGCTTCGCCCCGCGGCGTTGCCCGCGGTTATAACAACAAAGGTTATAACACCGCGGGTCTCAGCTAGTTTAGTATAAAAATATTAGATTTTTATAGGCAAGTAACATTGCACTAGTTAATTTGCACTGTATTTTATAGGTGTGAGGGTGGATATTTGTCCAAATATTAATAAGTCTCTTCTGTGACGATACTTACTTCATATGGTTAACTATTGTTATTTCTCATAAGTCAAGGTTGGCCATCAACTCATCATCTTCATCATCATCCAAGAATGAGTTATCAACGGCATCACAGTCGTTGCCCCCGCTGGTTGATTGTTTATCTTCTATGCTAATACTCTTATCGGTGTTGACAGAATCTTTCCTGATGTTCGTTCCTGGGATGTAGTCGTTTCTGTTCTTAGGCACGCATACTGATAAATATTGGGATATGGTGTTTTTACTGTCCTGTAACAGAAAGAAGGAAAACATGGCACAAACCCTATTACAACCCGTCGGCCAGCGTGGTATAGTAGGCCAAAACCTATTTTCTAAGGATAGGCCTATGTCCGGCAGTGGACTATTAAAGGCTGTTGATGTGATGTGTCCCCCAAATTAGGAGGGCGGGGGCGGAGGCATTTGTGTCCAAGCATGATTTTCCCACGGTAAACACACTTGAGACAATCCACACGCGGCTGTCTGACCTCAAATTAGGCAGAGCCTGTATTATGGTAACCAGACTACTGCTAAATATACTTATATATTTTTAAATACATAATATAGATAAATTACACCCACGCATAGAAGAAATGGTGGTGTTCATTACACAATATTTGTCCTGGGGGGAAATCTAACCCATGTCCTTTGGTTTAGTAGTCAGGACCGCTAACCACATGACCAACGGGCAGTATGTTTAGTGCGTTCGGGAAATTAATTTATCTATCTATACAAATAAATAAAATTAGAGTGTCTGTTTGTAATATTAAAACAACCGCTCTTTACTGAAAGCATATGTATGTTTACACGGTGTAAAAATGTTAAGTTGGTTTTGTAAGCTTCAATTTTTTTTAAGTTTAGTAACAATTCAGTATGTGGCACAGTGCAGAGTGGCAAGGTACAGCTAGTTTTATATAGATTATGTTTAAGGATATTTATTTTATAGGATGTTACTGAAAATGTTGATAGAATAATCGACAAATACACAAAATAAAGGATCCAAACAATAAAACTTAGGCCCGTATTTTAAAAGACGTCTCAAGTGTCGGTTGAACTCTGATTGCCTGAAACTAGTTTTAAGTGCAGATCAAATCTTAAGTATCGATCTTATTATAGAACGCGTTTTAAGTTTTACTCAGTTGAAACTAGTTTCAAGTATTGATTTGAACTTACAGTCTGTTCTCAATTACGTTTCCGCGTGATTGACACTATTATTCCACATTACGCAGCTAATTATTTAAAAAATAATTTTCTTTTACAAAAATAATTTCTGTGAATTTGTATATAATATACTATTGCCTAGTGTAGCAATGTTAACATATTAACAAGGTTGTTGTTCGTTCAAAATTAAGTATAATAAATATTAAAATAAAAATGACTAGCTGTATGAATAGGCTATAACGGAACGTTCAAGTTATTTATCAACACTTGTCATGTTGAAATGTCAAACGATGTTTTTATTTGATATTTCTAAAATTTAAATTACTATACTTTTAACATAAACCAAAAGGTTGTGGTAATTTAAACTGGTATTGTGTGTGTAAAATGTGAATTTTGGTGAATTTCATATCAATTAAGGTAAATGAAAGTGAAATTGATGATAGTATGCCAAGTCATTCTTTCGTAAATAAAGTAAAGTAAATCTTTCGTAATTATTCAAAAAGAAATCATCGTAAAACACATTCATTTCCCCTAAACGCCCTAGAAATCACCGCTTGAGACTAGCTTCAGCTTGTCTCACGTAAACAAAGATCACAGCTGTCAAAATCTATACCTGAGTAATGATTTCGACATAAACATCGTTCTAAAATAAGCTATCACTCACTTGAGTATGGATCGGTGAATCTCGTTTTAAGTGACGTTCAATAATAAAATCTCTACTTAAAATTAGTTTTAAGACTAGATTCACGACTGAGACACCTTTTAAAATACGGGCCTTAGACTGTAACATACCTGGTGCTTCATCGTCGTATCTTCAAACGTGTCTCTACTTAGTCCTACATTGTTGAGCACCTGTAAATATAAAACAATGCAATGAGTGAGGGGCGGGTGCGGCAGGTGTGGGGCGGAGCGGGGTAGAGGAGGCGGAGGTAGGTGGTTACATGTAGCTTGTGCTGCAGCAGCGGCCACATGAGGTCGTCGGCGGTGCGGCGCGCGAGCAGGTAGCGCGCGCACACGGCGCCGCGCTGGCCCAGGCGGTGCGCGCGCGACTCCGCCTGCGTCAGGATCTGCAACACCGCACACCTTCAAGATAGACACGCCTCTCAATGCTCCTCGTACATTTTGGACCGAGGTTTCTTATAGCGCGTTACACGCACTGAGCGGTTGGGAGAGAGACCGAAAAATGTGTAACAAGACTTTTTTCTAACATTTCTTGCGGAACTTCGTTTCGACCGGGGGTTCATAGACCCCTCACGCAATTTTTATTAAGGCGTTTTCTACTAACGACGAGAGAACGGGTTTTCCCCTCAATCTGCCTCGGACGGGCGATCTCTACGTCTGACGTCGCCCGGTTACCGTAAAAAGCCGTCTCCAAAAGCGAAAAAAATCGGACTATATTATCGTAGTGCCACGTATTTCCATACGTTCTCATAGAACTTGTCTCCACTCTGCGATATTATCCTGGCGATACGACAAGTGGAACGAGCGAAACGTCATCATATCGCCACGCTCTCGCGACTAAACGGGGCATCTCATACCGAAAGCTAATTCTATGTTAGGACGTTACGTACCGACAAGTTTTTAAAAAACAATAAACAATGTTAGACATTGAAAAGTTTATGAATACTTGATGTGAGAGAAAAACCTACATTTTACGATGTGCTAGAGATAATTTGAGTCCCGGGAAATAAATAATTTGTATTTATATGAGTTCGTACTCACCCCAGGATTCCAGTGTAACTCGGCGAATAACACGAGGTTAGCGGCCGTCAGTGTAAGGCCAGAGTTCGCCGCAGTTATCGACAGCACGGCGCAGCGACACGACTCCGTGTGTTGGAATTTGTCCACTAAATCCTAGGAACGCATAATAAGTACCATTAAATAGACGCATCTGTATGGTGAGGAATTACGAAGACGGAGTGTCATTACCGCTGTTCATTCCGTAGGTGTCGTAAGAGCCGACTAAGGGACAAACTACGCAGGACAACAGCACTGCAAAGAAAAAGAAATCTTGAAGCAAACCCTATATGATGACGAAATAGATGAAATACTGGGTCTACCAATAGGGATGACCTGGTTTTGACAGCTCATAGCGGCCATGTTTGATGATGGATCTTTGACGTCTCTTGAAATTTGTGTTCAGTAAGGTTTGCCATTTTATCATGTCACGTTTCACTTTAAACCAACGCTTGGAAATTGTCCAAAATTATTACGCAAATTCGCGTTCTCCTACCGCTACAGTAAGAGCGCTTCGCGCAAAAAACGGTCGTCATAGTGCTCCTTCTGTGCGCGCTATAAATCGCATAATAACAAAATTTGACAGTGAATTCACTCTCCACGATACTGCTGTGCCTGTGAGACAAAGAAATGTCCGTAGTGAAGAGAATATCACAGCCGTTCAGGCCAGTGTTGATGCGAATTCAAATCGGTCAGTTCAACGTTGTTCACAAGAGTTGGGGCTCTCTCCAATGAGCACCTGACGTATTTTGCGGTTGGATTTGGCCCTACACCCATACAAAATTGTTTTAACACAAGAATTGAAGCCATCCGACCATTGTATCCGTTGTGAATTTGCCGATTATGCACTGGAAGTGATGGAAGCCGATGACGATTTTCATCGTAAAATCATCTTCTCAGATGAGGCCCATTTCTGGCTCAATTGATTTGTTTATAAACAAAATTGTCGCTATGCGAGTGAGTCAAATCCACGTGTGGTTCATGAATCACCATTGCATCCGCAAAAAATAATAGTTTGGTGCGGTTTATGGTACGGTGGAATCATTGGTCCGTACTTCTTTGAAAGTGACGAAGGAAACCCTGTTACTGTGAATGGCGAGCGCTATAACTCGATGTTAACCGAATATTTCTTTCCGGAATTTGATGATATTGATGCAGACGACCTTTATTTTCAACAAGACGGTGCACCACCTCACATTACTCGAGTGAACGTGGAATTATTGCGTGGAAAGTTTGGTGAGTCGTTAATTTCGAGAAATGGACCGATCAGTTGGCCACCAAGATCGTGTGATTTAACACCTTTAGACTATTTTCTTTGGGGTTACGTTAAATCTAAAGTGTACAGCAATAATCCAGCTACAATTCGTGACCTAAAAACCAACATTCGACGAGCCATAGCCGACATACCGGCCGAAATGGTGCACCGCGTCATCGAAAATTGGCGTGAGCGGGTGACCGTCTGCAAAAAGAGCCGCGGCGGTCATTTGGCCGATATATTATTTAAAACATAAATTGCATAAAATTATCTATCAAATAAATCAATCGGATGCATTATAGACACGCCTGTCAATAGTCTTCGTACATTTTGGAACGGGGTTCCTTATCGCGCGTTACACGCTCTGAGCGGTTGGGAGAAAGACCGTAAAATGTGTAACAAGACTTTTTCGGAACTTCGTTTCATAGACCCCTCACGCAATTTTTATTAATCTACAAGCGGCTAGAGAACGGGCGGATTTTCCCCTCCGCCTGTCTCGGACGGACGATCTCTTTTTCTGACGTAACCCGGTTACCGTAAAGAGCCGTCTCCACAAACGAGAAAATCGCGGCTATATTATAGTGCCACGTATTTCTATACGTTCTCATAGAACTTGTCCGTCTGGAAAAAGAGAAGCGGCGGTCATTTGGCCGATATATTACTTAAAACATAAATTGCATAAAATTATGTATCAAATAAATCAATCGGATGCATTTTTCATAAAAAATTGTGTGTTTTATTCAATTTTTAAACCAGGACGTTCCAAGTAGTATGAACTTAATCATCATCATCAACAACCTTTAATAGTCCACTGCTGGACATAGGCCTCTCCTTAGAAAGGAGGTATTGGACTAGTATACCACGCTTTGTGTCAAGTTTTCCTTCTCTTTGCAGTGCTGTTGTCCCATGAGATGAATTGGGGTGGTGACACTCAGTATTCTTAATCTGTTACAACACGGAAATTAACTTATTGTTTATGAAATACTAGCTGACCTGGCAGACATTGTTCTGCTATATAAAAATGTGGGGTGGGTTATCAGGGTGAAAAATACTTTACGACCTCTCTTACCTACCAAATATACAATAAAAATCATGAACATCGAAGATAAGACACATGATATTTTTATATTATATCATTATATCCCATATACTTAGTGTTGTGGCATATCGGTTAATTTTATTTTGTGTTCCTTTTATTATTATTCCTTTACTTTTTTCTTCTAATTGATTCTATTTTATTTTATGTTTGTTTTAATTGTAATTCTAACTTCATGTTAATTACTGTAATTGATTTTACAGTTTTAATTAACTCTATATTATATGTCTATTCTCAAGACACTGGAGCTTTGACGCTCAATAAAACGATGATAAGTAGCGAAAATAATTGATTTTAATGTAAATATTCGTTTTTTTACAGTAATGTTCACAATTCGTGTTCGTATTGAAATTAGAATAGCAAGTGTAAGTGCACAATAGTAGGTAGTTTTTTCCTTTCTTAAAAAATCTATTATTTCTAAGTACCGTCATACTTCGAAAACACAAACCAACATAATAATAGGTTGTGATGACTGTCAGGCGTTAACATTATATATCAATGCGTTATTAAGTTTTATCTACTTACAGCTCTCGTATTAGAGGGCGTGGATCCAACAATACATATGTAGTGTACCCCGGCCTCGTCCAGCGTTAGACAGATCGCCTCTATCACGGGCTTGTGGTGCGCGAATATTAAAAACTTGCCGGTTTCACCATCTTCCAGTAATTGTTTAATGTATTTACTGAAAGAAGAGTAACAATTATAAACTTTAAAATAACCTCTGGTCAAAAATCTTTTCCATTATAAGAAAATATTCGAACGACAAAACATTTTTTCTTAAATTATTTGTTTATAATATTTATTTAAATTATAGCTAGAACAATCTCGGTCACTTGACCTGCTGACTTCACTTTTAAACCAACATAAAAATTGCATCAAAAGTGGTCCGTCCGTTTAGGCAATAAACGGATTTACCATTTTCGGTGCCAAAGTCAACCATACTGATTTATCCTTTTTTGCATCGAGCGTTAGCAAATAAAATGGCTTTTTGGCGCCAATATGTATATTTGGATTTTTTTTCTGTCAAACCTGGGATATCAAAACGTTTTCATCAACAGCCTTTAACAGTCCACTGCTGGACATAGGCCTCTCCTTAGAAATTAGGTTTTGGCCTACTATACCACGCTGGCCAGACGGGTTGGTATAGGGTTTGTGTCAAGTTTTCCTTCAAAACGTTTTAATGGGTGATAATTTTTGCTTCAAATATTATAAAGTTCTAGATAGTAGCGGAAGAATTAGGAATGGTACACTCACCAGATGGCTGGTATCTTGACTCTAGCACTCTCGCTGAAGAAAGTGATGAGTGCGGACTGCTTATCAGCCGACTTGCTGGACTTGTAGGTTTCGGCCATCTGCGATAAACCTTTTTGTACCTCCGGCCCAAATTCGAGCATTGTATCATCTAATATCACTGTTTCCCTAAAACAAAACAATATTTCGGGTTTTTTTTTTAAGAAATAAGGAGGCAGATAAGCAGACGGGTCACCTGATGGTAAGCGACTACCGCCGCTCATGGACACCTGCAGCTCAAGATTCACACGTGCGTCAATGAAAGGGAGAAGAAATGTGATGGTACCACTCCAGTCGAGTTGGCCCATTTATGTCGAAGCAAAACTCTCCCACGGTCGTTTGCCAGGAGAAGATTTCCTTGGTATTAGAGGGGTATAACACCTGTTCCTCAATTATAGGAGCAAATTGAAAACTAGAGCATGACAATCTAAAACTCATTTTATACGGTAAAGTTAGTTGACGGGCCTGTTGGTGTAGTTTAGTTAGTTTTAGTTAGTTAGGTTAGTGACCCTGCTAAGCCGGAGGTCGAGGTTTGATTGTTGAAAAGATCGTTAGTTTGGTTTGTATCTAGTTGAAATGTATGTATAATATTTATATATGATTATCAGCAGTTGGGTTACTATATCATAGGCTCCGCCCAGTTTGGTATCAAGTCTGCCGTGTGTGAGATGTGTGACGTTACTATTATTATTGTGTTATGTTAGTAAGTTAACTAAATAGTTATTCTCACCTAGTCTTCTCTTCCAGTTTAGTGAGCACTTGTTCTTTAGTCCTTCTGATGAGGAACCTCTTCTGGAGTAAAACTTGCAGCTCGGCGAGGTTCGACTGGCCCGTCATGTCCCAACCGAAGTTCGTCTGTTTACCATCGCAATATCTTTTTCCTGAAACATTTTTGATAAAATAATACTACAGGTCGCCTGACGGTCGAATTTCGGTCAGTTTTCGCTGTCGTTATTTGATTGACCAGCTTAAAACTGTCCTTGTGTAGAATTTTGTACCATGGCAGATTGTAACATATCTCCATAATTTTATTCAGTTGTTTTTAAATATTTTTGAACTTTATATAATTATTATATATGCCATATTTGTTTAAAATAAGATATAAAGAATTTTGATTAAAATTTTATGAAAGTTATCCGTGTGGTGATGGATTATATAGAGTGTCATGTCGTGGGTGTCGTAAGAGCCGACTAAGGAAGCAAACTACGTAGGACAACAGCACTGCAAAGGTAAAGGAAATTTGAAGCAAACCCTATACCAATCCGTTTGGCTACAGTGGTATAGTAGGCCAAAACCTCCTTCCTAAGGATAGGCCTATGTCCAGCTATGGACTATTAAGGTAGACTGTTGTATATGTATGTATTATGAAAGTCGAACGTTAAATAAGACTGAAAAAATAGATGCATCCATAAAGTCAGACTTATATCGCTTATATATTTTTTTTTTTTAAAGGCTTACTAGCAACCGAAATTACTAGTATTCCTGTTAACCCCTCCAGCTAAGCTAAATTGCTTGTGTTAGGAGTGGGTTCACGGCGGTAGTGTACTGGTCAGGATTCGAACCCACGATCTCTTGATCGCAAGTCCAATTCCTTAACCACTAGGCTACCGCCGCTTAAATATATTTAACATATATTTATATTGAATATAAGTAATAACAACAATACACAGATTTCTCATTATCATTTTAATTGTAAAACTAAATATCACAAGTATCAGACCGGTATTCATCATCTAAGAGTATCGGTGCCATGGGACACAAAACCATAATCCTTAAAAGTTAAGATTCAAATCGCGTACATACCAAACTCTGTGTAAGAAGGGAACAAGCCGGGCTCAATGAGTGTGAGCTGCGTGAAGAGTTCCGCGGGGCGACTGAGCGCGGGCGTGCCGCTCAGCAAGATGGCGCGCTGGCACTTGCGGGTGATGCCGTTGAGGGCTACAGTGCACTGCGCCTTGTGTGACTTCAAATAATGTGATTCATCCTGGAAGGTAGAAAAAGAATATAGTTTGTATAAAAATAAATTTTGACTGCACGGATGGCGTAGTGGTTTAAGCGGTCGCCACGCCGCTTCCTACAACGCTGAGTGTTGTGGGTTCGATCCCCACATGGGACAACACTTTGTGTGATCCAAAAATTATTTATCTGGGTATTCTTTATGTCCGTTTGATGTATTTTTGAGAACGGGGGACCCGAGACACAGGATATGCTCCTAATGCGGGGGTTGTATTTTTTAATAATTAAAATAAATAAATAATTAAATTAATAGTCGCATATCCAACACAGAGAGAGCGATGCCAGTGACACCACGGCCTCACAGAAAACCGGTGTTTAACAATTCTATCTCTATTCTTCACCGAGGGTTACTGGAGGAACTTAACAGATTTTAATTATTGCTTTTATGATGAAGTATTTTGAAGGGAAAACTTCTTTAGGCGCATTGAGCATTTTTGAACAACAAACAAAAGAATGTATTTTTTGAGATGGGAAAAAAAAAATTGAACTCGCGACACCGTTACCGTTAACGACACCTCTGTATATAATATTATGTATTATTGTATTACACTGTATACTGTATTATTTTTGAAGAATTTATAAAAATAGTAAAAGTAAAAACTTCGACCCTGGTACTGAAAGATATGTGTGATCGCACCTTCAATAACATGATATTTTTTTATCTTTATCTTATCTTTTGGAAAGTTTAATACAATATACTCACTATGAAGATACTTCATTTTTTAAGACTCTTATAACACGTTTTTGTTACAAGTTATACTCACTATTATAACAACCCCAAAATTCTTGCTCTTCAGTAAGTCTGTGTGCATGCTTGTAATCTTGTAGCTGACAATCACAACTTCGGTCTAGAAAAAAAAATGTAAAATGAAAAATAAAAACTTTTTTTTATTATTATAAACTTTAATCACACTTGATTTACATTTTTTAACAATTTCTCTATTCGCCAAACTGTTCTAACAGTTTGTAGGCTTTCCGCCCAATTTATAATAACCTTAGTACTTAAATGCTAGTTTTTAAATTACTACCACAACGGTGTACTAACTAAAATAACAAAATATATTCAAGACATAAACAATACATAAATATGTGTAACCTGACTATTTTCTGTGTATTCGGCATTTCTGAATTTATAAAAAACTAGCTGTTCCTTGCCATGCTTCGCTGTGGCATATTGTGGTTTCAAAAATAGGTAAAAGCAACAATCGGTGCAAAAATTTCATTTCAACAATCGGTGCCGATTTTTTTGAGTTTTTGAAGCACACGCAAAGTAACTTAACATTGTAATATGTATAGATAGACAGACAATAGGCGTTTGCTAATCGTGTAAAGACTCTTTTGCAAAACCCTGGTATTTGGAAAAAATATTTCTGTCTAAATTACCTCGTCATTGTAGCCCGATCACAACATACAAAACACCAGGCTTGACTTTTACCTGCTCCATAACTAGGTACCATATGAGTACAAAAACTCTTAAAATCAAATAAATTTCTAATACCAAAGTATGTAGTGTATATAATGTGGCCTTGAGACCTGGCAATGTCATACCTGCTTATCAGCAACTAGCTGCGTGTCTTTGCCACTAGTCAAAGTCGCAATGTTCACTAGTGGAACTGAAGGTAATAACTCCTCAATCTTGTTTTGCCATGTTTCTCTGCAAGAAAATGTTATAAATGTCTCATCATCAACAACCTTTAATAGTCCACTGACCTTTAACAGTCCACTGCTGGACATAAACCTCTCCTTAGAAAGGAGGTTTTGGCCTACTATACCGTACATATATACTATACTGTACAGTGTTTGTGTCAACTTTTCCTTCTCTTTGCAGTGCTGTTGTTCTGCTTAGTTTGCTCTCTTAGTCGGCTTTTACGACACCTACGTCATGGCGGGTCAGCCCATACCATCAGACAGACCGTGTTTTTGTTTGCCACATTAGTTTTATAAAAACTTGATTAGCTTTATCACCTACACCATAAATCTAAAATGTAATAATTAAACGCATTTCTAAATAATAAAATATCATACGTAATGGAGTTCGTGGAGTTCAAAATCAAATTAAAAATTTGCGCAGAACAAACAAATAAGGAAATATTTTTAAAATTGTATTTGTACACATAATTATATTTCTCAAAGAAAATTGTCCGTTAACTGTGTTAATTTCTTGATACCTCATAGAAGATGTGGTGACGATGAGCAATGGCCAGTTGTCTCTGTAGTAGCTGGCAATGGCAAGCGCCTGGAACGTCTTGCCAAGACCCATATCATCAGCTATCATGCACCGACCACGCCGAGAGATACCAAACCTGTGTACCAATACCATAATTATAATAGCATTCAAAACACACTAAAATATCTATACTACGAGTATAATCATGGACGTATAAAAAATTCCGACGGAGTCTCGCTAATAAAAAACCGTGTCACTCATAGTCGGCCAGCTTGCTGTCTGTACAGGCCGGTACGCACACTTACACACATTAGTCGGCCGTTACGCTCGCAAACATCAAGACAGCGAGACGCATTAAGCGGCGAAAAGATATAAATATACATTTTTTCGTAGTGAAATGCTGTGAAAACCGTATTGAATTACGTTTCATAGGTAAATGAATATTTCAATTACTTATTTCCAGATTTTGTACATTAAGCATTCGCTAGAACAAAAGAATTCATTATAAGCCCCGCGTTGCCAATTTTCACGTGTGCAAATTACCCGAAACAAAGGAAATTTTTGGGTTGTTATTAAAATCAATTTATTAAGGTTATTTATTTAATGTTTACTACTAGGTATACTACTTCATATTCATCTACTAAATTTTTTAAGGAAAATGGAGAAATTATTGAATTTAAATAATTTGAAATTGTAATGGTGAAAATTAAGACAACACAAATATATTCTCACAAAAGTTCTAGAAAAGTTTGTTGGCAATGAAAGCATTTTTTAAACTTAAGACAAAATAAGTCTTATTAGATATGTAGCAGAAAAATATCTAACGATTCAGTTTCACCACATCTCGAAATTAAAGGAAATTTCAAGAACCCCTCAAAGTAAAAAAAAATGAGAGGATTTAGGACATTAAACAGTAAAATTGCAAACAAATAAAATATTTTTACTTGAACATATAGAACTTGAATAGAACACAAAATAAGTCTTATTAGATATGTAGCAGAAAAATATTTAACGATTCGGTTTCACCACATCTCGAAATTAAAGGCAATTTCAAGAACCTTTAATAACAAAGACTTTAATTTTAGGGTATAAATATCTTATCAGCCCCAAAATTCATTGACACACACACAGAGCTGCGGCCATTACGGTGCCTCAGTTTTGTGTTTAGCGAGAGTTCCATCGCGATTTTTTTATACATCAATGAATATAATACGTGAAGCGAAAACTTTGGGGGTCTTAAGAAAATAGCGCAAACGGATGAACGTAAAATTTAACACAGTTAAAATTTATTTGGAGAAAAAGTACTTAAAGCTATGTTTTTATATAAATTACAGTAGAAATACATTAAATTAATTAAAATAAACATTACACACACTACTGCTTGAATGACACACAACATACATACCGTACTTCCTCTTTTGTTCATAATTGAAAATCTATGATCAAACTGTAGGTTAATTTAATAATATAATACATGATGAAACCTTCGATTATAGTGACTATTAACTGGATCCTTAATCACTAGATCCACAGATCTAATGATTAGGGATCCTGACTGCTAAGCCTGAGGTCGTGGATTCGGTACCCACCAAGGTCAAATAATTGTGTGAAGAGTAAGTGGGTGTAATTTATCGGCACTATGTATGAATGTGAGTACTTTTATCAGCAGTCTGTTAACCAGTATCTACTTTAGGATCAAGCAGCCATGAGTGAGATGTGTTATTTGGCCCTAAAGGTGCCAAAACATATAAAATTATAGAAATAGATAATGAAAGTAGCTAAACTCTAGTTTAAAAAATTAGAAAGTCCATTTACCGAACTCCATCTTCTTGAAAGGGCATTAGTTGATGTCTCAATGTAGCCTCTATCGGTGACAGGTCAATGCTGTTCGGGTCCATGGTTTTCTCTCTCAAAACCTATTACAGGACAATTTTTTTTTGGGTTCATGTATTTATTTTTCTCAATCTTAAAATAATTCTGCAAAGTTCATTGCACAAACTTTTGACTTATGAACGACTATCTTCGATCAAATAAACTATAGATGCACACTCTAATACAAAAACAACGCCAAATCGTGTCACTGGAATGTTTTATAAGATACTTATACATGTATGTTTTTATAATGCTAACCAGAAAATTAACAACTTTAAACAATCAACGTCCACGTGCAAAGATGTCGTAATATCGTCTATAGTAATATTCTTACTCGTACACAGGATAGTCGCGGTACGTAACTCTTCGTTCAGAACGGTCTTTTGTTTTTTAATAATATATACCTATGTATATCTTCCATATAAAATACTCTAAACAACTTACGTCAGAGGCATTAGACTTAAACAATTGGTGTAATACGCCTCCATGTTTCTCGTCCAATGTCATTGAGGGGAAGACTAAAATAAAGTTATATTAATATACAATAAAATTATTTAATTTCTTGTGAATAAGTGATAAATTATATAATAAAAAAAAAAATTATATTCATATTTCAAAACAGTAATAAATAATGACGACTCCATATCTTTTAGGATAAGCCTTGTTTAACGAAATGGTGAGAGCAAGATCGCGTTACGGGACACTCTCCGCGAGAGTGACAAGAGCAGGTGCTTGGTAAACGCGGTTGAAAATAATTGAATAAAGAGCAATTTTGCTATAAAAACAATTCATAATGACACACTTTTAAAGCACGCTTTGGCATCGTTAAGCGTCATACTACCAACGCGGTCGCGAAGCAGCTGTGAGCCATACTGTGCTTACTTTTAATATATGCCGAGTTTAGTTGGCTCCGTTTTTCGAGCCGTGATCGTCAACCTATAGTTGATTTGATCGAAGAGGACAATGCGTTTGCCTGTACATGTAAGGAGAGTAATTAGAGACATGGAGAGTGCTCCGAGGCATTGTTCGGACTAATATCAGCCGCAAATTTCCGCCATCGTTCCACACGGCAAAATTTTCATCCTCATTACCTGGATAGTTGGCGCTCCACTACTGTGCGCTTTTCGAGACACTTTTTGACCCGCACAACCAATCTGTGGAACGGGTTATCGTCTGCGGTATTTCCGGACCGATACGACCTTCAAACCTACAAGAAAAGAGAGTACTCCTTCCTAAAAGGCCGGCAACGCGTTTATGACTCCTGAGTTGCAGACGTTCATGGGCGGCGATAGTCACTTTCCATCAGGTGACCCGTCTGCTCGTCTGCCCCCTCTAACATAAAAAAGAAAAAAAATACCTACCAAATTAATAATTGACCAGACGCTGCTCCTGCATGCAATAATTTTTTAAGTCTTTATTATTCTTCATAACATATAGATAGATATCAATGCTTGAAAGGTAATTCTTACTAACAATACAAAGTACATAAAATGAGTTACATATACTTAGTGATGCAGAAAAATAGTACCATTTGTAATGCATAAAGAGCTCATTTTACATATTTCATTTTTGTCTATTACTAAGAATTGCCTTTTAAGCATCAACATGTAAAGCAATTAGATAATATTTTATATTAAGATATTGGTTTATTGTCAATATTGATAGACTAAGTTTCGACAATGCATTATCAGTAACACTATCATAATTTTTAATTGCAATAGATACCTTTAGAACATATGGGGGTAAAGGACCCAACACTATATGTGGTGCTAAGGGCGCAACTTTGGATACCAGCTCTTGATAATCATGAATTGAAAAATTCCATAACTTTGATTTCATATCTGTAAATAATAGTTCAAATCATAACACTTTTATATTGTAGTTATTGAAACAGTAGTATAGTGCAGTCACGGAGCAGAATAATTATTCTACATTGACTTGTCATTATCCTGTCTTTGTCCCTTGCGCGTAAATTTATTGCCGTCACGGTCGCATGTTGCAATGACCGTTGTGTGTAGAATTGTAAACCTTTTCAGCGTTACAATAAGCTCTGCTTTTATACATGGGATATTTGGTTTACCGTGTAAATGAGAATTTTACTCCAGTTTTACAGTATATTCATACTATTAAAAGTAAGTAGAAAAAAGTAATACTAAAACGATACTGTATGATATGACGTCAGAGCGTTGATTTTATGTATACCTGAGGATAGTATATTCATATAAACATAATATTAAATTAACTACCTAATACATCAATATAAATTAAATTAAACATAGTCTGTATATTTGATATATTCTGCAAAATTTTATAGACTTGCACTGTATGTAAAATTGTTTATGACCTCTGGCAGTGGCACAAAGGTTATTCTATAAAATTCTTTCTGGTTTGCGAACACTTTATGTACTATGACAGTTGTGAGATCGAAAGTTGATCGGAACTGAATTGAAACTGAACTTTTATTACGAGATTTGGCCTTCAGGTGATCTGTCTGCTTGTTTCTACCCTGTACAAAGAAATCTATCAATGTCAGGAATACAGAAATAGGAATGGAATTAGAATACACTTCATCCAGAAAAAGGTACTACTCCTGAGAGACATTCAAAGTAACTTTTATGCAAGCAAAGCTACAGTGTAGAAAAATCTGTTGCACTAGAAAATTTTCTTTTAATAAAAAATAAAAACCTTTTTCAAGTTTTACAGAAATAATGATAAATTGAAGGCTCATCATCAACAGCCTTTAATAGTCAACTGCTGGACATAGGCCTCTCTTTAGAAAGGAGGTTTTGGCCTACTATACCATGCTGGCCAGACGGGTTGGTATAGGGTTTGTGTAGTAGTAATTAGCTAAATATAAATAAATTACTAACCAAAAGTTTTAGATGGCATGCTCTTGAACACATTAATGAGAGGAGTACAAAATTCTGATGGATTTACTTCAAACCTTTCATCAGAAATCAGATACACACTGCCGCTAACCACTTTACCAATGGGAACGTTATTTTCACTCCCACTAGCAATTGGTTTGGTGTAAGGGTGACTTCTATTAGAATTTAATTGAAAAGATTTGGGTGGTTCAAATTTTGTTTGCTCAAAGCTTCTCGGGGAACTAGGGCTGTACTTGATAGGAGAATTTTTACTCGTCTCATTGTTACCCAATAGCTTATTTTGCCTTTTTTGTAATGCAGCTAGACGTTTCCTCTCAATTTCTTCTTTGGTACAAGCCATCAGATGGCCGTTTTAGTGACCACCAGACATGTAAAAATCTGTAGATCAAGTGAAAATAGAAATACACAACACTCTATACTCTTAATCTTAAAAGTTTAGTTCAAACTTCAAATTTGAATAGTGAAAAGCTGATCACAATCACAAGTGTTGACAAAAAATAATAAACACCAGTGTTGTAAACAGTTAAATTAACTCTCCACCAAATTCAACCAGGGATGTTAGATTGTAGTGAGCAAAAGTTGGTACAGATGTCACTAAAAGCCTCTAAAAACTGTTTTTTTTTTTAAAGTTGGTACACTCACAATAACGTTATATTAATAAAAATAATATTGATTCATACAATTGGTTATGCCTGCGCTGCTGCTGCATCCGCAGATAAATACCAATATTCAGTAGGTAATTACATTTTTTGACCGTTTGGGGTCAAGACAGGGTCATGGGGTCCGAGTGCTATGTACAAACAACTAGCTAAGCAACTGATCGAGACTTCTCGGGATCAGAAGGCCGGCCTTTTTCTAGCACAGTGGCAATGCTGCCAGTCTTCTGGGAATGCTACCAGTAGGCCATGTTACGGAGGAATTTTTTGATGCCTGTATGTAAATAGTGTAAATGTTGAAACAATTTTAATTGGATTATAATTAATAAAAATAATAATAAATCGTTTATTTTGTATGTTCTTTTAAATGAAATTTTGAATTATCGAAGAAATTCTTGCAATCATTATCGATTGATTGATGAATATTTGAAAATAAAACATGTCTGATAAAAAAATAAGAATAATAGTTATTAATAATATTAGAACTATTAATTATTCTCATTATTCGTTGACGTTTTTATTTTTAGATCTTATAAATGTTACAGAGGTGACAGAATTTTATATTATTTTCTGACAAAATCATACCCGTCAGCCCTGGGTCAAAATATTTTTTTACAATAATCAATGTTGTCACTATGACGTAACTTAACTTACGTACTACGTAACTTACACACTGTTACATACAAGTTTTTTTTAATGCATGATCAATGTAAAAATTTGATATTATTGCGTGCCATGCATACTTGGTCCATAACAAGAACCTGAGAATGGTACGTAAACATAGAAGTTATTACGTATAACATCCCTGAATTCAACAGCTAAAACCACGAGAACACTACTAACAAAAATTATACTCCAATAATCGCTAAATTTTCCACTAAACTTTTTTTTAGTTAATACGAATGAAAACAATAAGTATATGATTAATTCGATTCCTTTATTATTATTTTATGCAAGGTGGGTGGCAGGAGTTGGATACAAGAAGCTGAAACTCGATCGAAGTGGTGTGCAAAGGGAGAGGCCTATGTCCAGCAGTGGACTGCGAGAGGCTGATAATGATGATGATAACAATGATGATTATTATGTAATACTTATAGTAACAATCAATAAATCAACATAAATATGGTAAATCAACAAGTTAAGATCAGAAAAAACAACAGTTACAACAGTAACTAATTTTAAATTAATTCATCTTCCGCAGATGAATCGTTTTTATTTGCACCATCATCGTCGATTTCGTATTGATACGATTCTTTGGTACCGCTTGGTTTTACAACGTTTATTGGAATTTCATATTCGTTGCAGCCATTTTCCTTTCAACCTCAAACCACAGCGTATTTTTAACATAGCAGATAATCTAATTAACTTTATTCTATTCTTCTGCTTTTTTTTATTTTTGTAGAAAAACCACAAAACCACTAGTTGGCAACACTGAAAAACAGTGCCGCAGGTGTTAATAGCATTTGAATTGTTTCTCCATATTTGAGCGCTGTTTTTTTTAATAATATGGTTATGTCATGAACAAGTAAAGCTTAGCTTGACTCCTGTAAACCACACAAAAACTGTGAAATATTCCAAAATAAACATTTTGGAATATTTTAACTTTTTTAAACATGTTTTCCGTGTAGTGACGGATTAAGAATACGGAATGTCACTACCCCAATTCATCCCGTGTCGTAAGAAGCGACTAAGGGTGCAAAACAACGCAGGACACCAGCTGCAAAAAGAAGGAAAACTTGATACAATCCCTATACCAACCCGTCTGGCCAGCGTGGTATAGTAGGCCAAAACCTCCTTTCTAAGGAGAGGCCTATGTCCAGCAGTGGACTATTAAAGGCTGTTGATGTGATGTGTGATGTGAAACATGTAAACCCGTCATGACTCCTGTGCCTGTGACCATAGATTTAATTTTTTCAATGAGTAATTATCAATTATTCAATATAAAATTATATGGTAATTTTTATTTTAACTTACTCATATACAATATGTGATGAAGATTATCACAAAAACTGAAAAACCAGATAACACGGTTCAAAAAACGTCGGTTAAAATAAAAAGTTAGTACGAAAATACAGAAATGCAAATTTAGAACAAAATAAATACAATAAAATAATTGCCACATTAGAACACCATTGATAACATGATTCGGTGCACTGTATGACAGCGTCGCAATGTCGGCGACATCAAAGCGGCGCCGCCGTCGCGACGAGGCGGCGAACTTTACATTATAATTACCTACCTACTTTACTTGCCTTTTAAAATCTATTTATTAAAAATACGATTTCATTCACGTGTTTATTTCGGGAATGCTCGACTAGCTTCGGACCTGGCAGTACCTGTCACTTCTTGAAAAAGTAGGTACTTTGATTGACTCGTAATCTTTGTACCGCCCTTACAAAAATTCGGCAGTCCGTAAGACATACATGATTAATTCTATACCGCGGTTTGTCTGTAAAGCTAAAGATGTGTTTTGATAGGGTTCCCCGAAAATTAACATCATTTCTGGATATAAAGGTCATTCACGGCATTATGGATGTTGATAACGATAACTCAATAAAATAAAATAAAACTGATAATTCACTCAATTTCACACTACACGTAATATTGTCACTTTTCAAAATAAAATTAGCGGGACTCGTGCCACTACAAAGTCTTGCGCACACGATAACATTAATTTGTTCACACCATTGCCGTGAATTATGACGAAAGCAATCTTATTAAAAGCAATAAGAATAAACAATTATTAACACAACAAAACTTTTCTAGACAAATCTCACGTACAACAACAATATTATTATTACGCTAATTTTTCGTGAGCGCATCTACAAGGACACAGAACAGCATAACACTCGCCGATGGTCAAGGGCCGACTGACTGTACTTATTGGATGAACTAATTAAAAACGCGTGTCCTTCATCTCGATGACGCAATAATCAACAAATTTCGTTCAATTCAAGTATAGTAAAAGCGGCAACATATACAACTGATCTCCGCCTGAGATCAATGTATTATGACTGCATTTACACATGATGTTGCAAATTACGAAAACAAGCAAAATGTCCTGCTTCTAAACCACTGAAAGTTTTTGTTCATATTTTGCAAATCGTGTAGAAATAAAGTGCAGAATATGTGGTTTCCAGATTCGTTTAAAGATACATCACACGTTGTATTAAGTCATAAAAGATTATATTAATCATGTTGGTGAACTAAACCCCCAAAAGTTGCCCTAAATCTGGGGAGAAAATTTCAAAGATTGCAAGTAGTTTCCTAGACATTTTCCCTTTAAAAACTGAACATATCTGCAACAAATAAAGATTGCTCTCATCATCATATGAGAAGAGTGTCAAATAACACAATAATTTTGTTTTACTTCATAAAACATATTTTAAAATATCTTGAGTAAAATGAAAGGACCAATCGGTTTTTGTCATATTCAGTTCAGAGTACCGTCTTCGGTTACCTACTTGCTGACTAAAGACATGAAAATAAAAAATCTGTGCTATCTTGGCATACTTTTTATCTTCTGCCACGCTGATCGCCTTGAGTAAATAAACATAAAGACATTCTTATATGTAAATGTAAGTAAAAAAAATTTCATATAAATTATGGACGGTATAAGTTTATCTTTATAACGTTAACGTCATAGCTCTGACGTTCACGCACGAATCACGGTTGACGTGTTAGACCTGACAGCTAAAAACAACAGCACCTGATTAGGTCAATAAAATTTTAAAATGTGAAATACAAATTTATTACAAAAAGTGAGTGACTTTAAGAGGTCACTGTTACTTTCTTCTAATTTGTATGAATTCCAGTATGATATAATATTCCACTTAGGTGTGATGACATTGTAAAACGTGTTGTCTGTCTGTGTACTATAGCATGGCGATCATTTTGATCACATCATTCAACCTTTAAAATACATATATCTTGAGGAATATCATTCAACATCAACATCTTAGCTTAGTGATAGAATTTAAAATAAAAATTATGAAAAATGGGAAAATTGAAAAGATTATTTCAATGGTGAAATGGAACGCATTTGGACTTTGACATACTAGACGAGACAGCTGTAACTGGCTGTAACTGTGAAACTGTTGAAAGTGAAATTTCAAATTGAAGTCCATTTTTAACAGAATTAGTTTAGCGAGGTCATTTGTTAATTGTCCTTACGAATAACAAATCAAATATGTCGGACAATCCCTTTAAATATTTCATATGTGGTGGTTTTGCTGGTGTGTGTACTGTTTTAGTTGGCCATCCTATGGACACTGTAAAAGTGAGACTGCAAACTATGCCCTTGCCTAAACCTGGTGAACAGCCGCTATATGCTGGCACTTTTGATTGCATCAAGAAGACCATTCAAAAGGAAGGATTTAAGGGTCTATACAAAGGAATGTCAGCACCACTTACCGGAGTAGCCCCTATATTCGCCATCAGTTTTTTCGGTTTTGGACTTGGCAAAAAATTAATTAAATCTGACATTGACCAACCACTTACAAAGCCAGAGTTGTTTGCTGCAGGTGCGTTTTCTGGTATTTTCACTACATCTATCATGGCACCTGGAGAACGCATCAAATGTCTGTTACAGATCCAACAAGGTGGTACAGCACCACCTAAATATAAGGGTATGTTGGACTGCGCCAAGCAACTGTATGCCGAGGGTGGCATTAGGAGCATATACAAGGGAACAATGCTTACTCTATTTAGAGATGTGCCTGCTTCGGGCATGTACTTCTTTACATACGAGTCGCTTAAAGATCTACTAGTACCCCAGGATGCTGATAACAAAGTGAAACTACTTGCAACTATGATGGCGGGCGGTTGTGCAGGAATAGCCAACTGGATAGTAGGTATGCCAGCTGATGTATTGAAAAGTAGACTTCAAACAGCACCAGAGGGAACATATCCGAATGGTATGAAGGATGTTTTTCGAGAATTAATGGCAAAAGAAGGTCCAACTGCTTTATACAAAGGTGTTACACCAGTAATGCTTAGAGCTTTTCCAGCGAATGCAGCCTGTTTTGTAGGTTTTGAATTTGCTGCATCAGTTATTAACTGGATTGCTCCTAATTTTTGATAGCCAACATTGCTGTGAAAATGTAGATAGATATAAGTGTAAAAGTATTTAGCTGGTTTTTATTTAATTTTACTCAAAAAATAATGCAATTGACTTCGAAGAATTATTCACTTGCTTTCAGTCATGTTTTTTAACTGCTTGTAAACCTTTTTTGAATGACTATGTTTTAGTTTAATAGTAATGTTGTTCAAAGAGTGAATTTGTGACCAATGGTTTTTTTTTCTAGCAAAAAAATTTTCAGTGGTCATGTCTTGCAGTATTCATCATTTTATCATAATGTCACATTAATATATTTTTTATACTGTACATATAGTTACAAATGTGTGAAAGTTTTAGTAGAGGTTCATTGTTAAAATATAACTATTGTTATGAAATGTTGATAAATTGTATGTCTAACATATTTCCTGGTGGTGCAAAACCAGCAGGTAGATTCTATTTATACCGGGTGTAAGGGACATCGTAATGAATACTGAAATAGTGTATTAAGATTATCATTCTGAGTCTAAAATCTTTGGAATTTTCTGCCGGAAAGTTAAACTTTTTATGCAATCAGCTGTCAAAGGTAAAGGTCATTGCCCGTAGGTATTGCACAAAGGTAATAACTACATGTGTATTCCGTGCAAACAGTCTACGCACACTAACACAAGTTAAAACAAAAAAAATATGAATTTTCAAAAATGTGAATCACTATTTTAGTATTCATTACCAAGTTCCCTTACACCCTGTATATAGATAGCAATCCTTTTTTGAATTGTTAAATCAGAATATTCTTGACTGATACAACAGAAAAAGTTAGTACCCTAAAACTGAAATAAAATGATGTAATATGTGACAAATGTTTTATTTTTTTTTACTTTTTATGTGATTTTGTCACAGATTAACTACTTGACAAATTGTGTATCTATTTGCTATCTACATGTGCTAATGGCATGTATTTAAAAAAGTTGCTAGCCTGTAAAAAATCAAGCACAAAAATATAACAGGGTATTTGAATATTGAATGTAATGAAATAAAAATGTTTCAATCTGAAACAATTTAAATATTTTTATATAACAGTTAATTACAAATGAACAGTGTCTTCGGCCCTGTCAATTACAATTGCTTATATATACTTGGCGTTTGTTTGTTATATAGTTTTAATACTAAAACTGCTTTTGTTTTAGCATATTACTAAACGCAGAATGAAAACGCAAGCATATAGTACTGTAAGCACCTAATTATAAAGTATCATTGTAACAGTGGTCTGTAAAATCATTTTTGATATAGTTAAATATACTCAATATTTACTATTGTGTTAAATTTGAGTCTATGATTTTATTTAGCTCAAATTGTCATAGATATAAAAGAATATTAATTTCTTCAAATAAACAATTGTATCCATTTCATTTGTAGAAATGGAACCATAATGTGTTTTTGTGGAAGACTGTCAAATATTTGTATAGATTTTCTTACATATTTTATTATATTTTGTTTTGAGATACAAAAATAAAAAAGGTGCATTTTTTAATAAAATTCTCTCCTAAAGTTTATTTCAAGTCTTCTATTTTTTTTAATGTTGTGTGCAAACATTTCTTTGCTCTTGACTTTTATACCATTTTCCGTTGATTTCACATTTTGTTCATTCTTCTTATGTCCAAGGCCTTTCCTGTCTCTTTTCTGTATAGTTTTAATTGGATACTTTTTTCCTGTCCCATCCCTTCCTAACCCAGAGTCTCTATCCCAACCTCCTTTTAACAGTAACTGGTAACCCCTATTTGATGTTGGTATTACATAATGTGGTAATATCTTTTTACCTTTACTTGCACATATGTTGTGTATTGTTGAAGATAAATGTTCCTCTCTGTTGGGAAATGTTTTACTACAAATATCACATGTGTAATCTTCCCATGATTTAACTTCAATTCTGTCTTGGTTTACATGCTGTGTGCTTTGTGTCTCTCTATGATTAAGTAATATATCAGCTAAGGTATAGTTTTTGTTCTTTATCACTAAGCTGCGAGCGGAATTACCAGCTTTATCTCTGATAGAAATATCTACACCTCTCTTAAGCAACTCTTGAGTAGTTTCTATGGAATTAGCCTGACAAGCTATCATGAGCAAACTCCACCCGTAATCATCAACTATGTTTATCTTATCAGGGCACCTATCTAAAATATATCTAATTTTGTCAACATCATTGTTTTGTACTGTTAAGAATAAATACTTGTTTGTCAATGGTATGTCTTCTTCTTTATCGACTTTTTTATGTTTTCCCGTTTTACATTTGCTTGGTTGTGTGGTACTTCCATTTTTTATTTCTTCAAGGTATATTCTACGAGCTTCGTCTCCACTTAAAACTGGCTTCTTTTGCTGTATTGTCGAACGCTGTTCCTCTTCGAGTGCACTTGCTCTCACAAAGTTACTGTAGCTTTTGTGAAACATTATTTAGCTTTGTTAAATAGTCACTGAATTACAAAAGATTATATCACGAGTCACATAACAGTCTTTTTCTGCAAGTGAATTAAAGATTAATTTTCATGTTATTTGTCAATATTCTTCGTTCGTGGTATCTCTGTCAGTCAGTTCACAAATGTACTCTGTGGTATTGATAGCGCAAACGTCAAAAAGGGGAAAAGTAACGTTCCAAGATAAATAAATACTTTTTCTTAAAAGTGCGTTCAAAACAAATCAAATCTTATTTACAACAAGAACAAATAAAAAACCATTGTATTTGGTTTCATTATTTTCGTAACATTCCAAGGATTGTCGACTAAGGTTGTACCGCCTGCTGCAACTTAGCAAAGACCTAAATTTGATAGTTTAAAGAGCAGATTATCAAGAAAGTTGCCACTTTCAGCACAGCATTTCCGATTGATTATTTTTCTATAGTACAGAAATATTATGCATGTTATAGATCTATTTTTCTAATCTTGATGTGGATTAATAATCTTATAAAGAAAATTATTTTAATTATAACATTACCCTACAACAGAAAGACCTTTGAACATTTATTTCTGATATGTTAAACCTAGCACGGGCCTAGGCTTAGAAAGAATCTATCTTACAAGGTACCAAAATTCCATCCTAAAAGTTTTATTCTTTCATTGCAAATTAAGATTACGACCAAATATTGAGTGATTTATGTGACTCTAGGAGCTTTTCTTGAGTTTGCGCAATTGTTAATATTTTGCAGTTTTTTTTTAATACATTTTATTATTTGACATAAAACTGAAATACAATTTAATTTATGTAAAATCATCTACCGGAGGGCACTAAATGATGAGATCAAATTTTATCAAGATTTTAAATTATTTATTGTGAAACTACTGAAGTAGGTACTGCAGGAAAAACTAAACGACAAGAAAAAAGTTAAATAGATGGTAAAATGGATTAATGATGTATTGCAAAACCAGTAGCATCTATTGATATATGCAGCTGATGCACAGAACACGTCTTTTATACCGGCCGCCCCAATATTTCTTGGGAAAACTTCATTTGGGAGTCAAAACAAAATTGTGTCTGAAAATTAAATATCCTTAGCGGAGATTTCAGATTGGAGCGACTACATCTAGTCAATTTTAACGCGTTCTACGGAGTCGTTCTAAGAAGACCGCTCATGGGCCGGACGAGATACCGGCCCGAGTGCTGGCCTTAGCCCTCCACCACATGGCAGACCACTTCAGGGAGGTGTTCGACGCTAGCTTGGCGTCCGAACGTTTTCCTGAGTACTGGAAGAGCGGGAAGCTGGTCCTATTGAGGAAGCCGGGACGGCCTGCCGATTCGGTCGCGGCCTACAGGCCCATCGTATTGTTGGACGAGGCGGGTAAATTGATTGAGAGAATTCTCTCTGCCCGCATCGTCTGGCACCTCTGCGAAGTGGGCCCTGATCTGTAGGACGCCCTATTCGGTTTTCGAGCGGGGCGTTCGACGGTCGACGCTGTGTTGCGCCTCAGGACCGTGACCGAAGAGGCGGTGTGCCGTGGTGGCGTGCTGTTGGTAGTTTCGTTGGACATCGCCAACGCATTCAACAGTCTGCCATTCAGCTGTATCAGGGAAGCATTCCACTATCATGGGGTGCCAGAGTACCTGAGGCGGCTAGTGGCAGACTACTTAAAGGAGCGTACCGTCATGTACGAGGACCAAGATGGTGCTTTGAGGCATCGGCTCATGTCGTGTGGTGTTCCGCAGGGGTCTGTTCTCGGACCACTCCTGTGGAACATGAGTTACGACTGGGCCCTTCGAGGTCGGCTCACCCGGGCTGGGGGTTATTTGTTACGCCTATGACACGCTAGTTTCAGCCCGGGGGGGTGGACTTTCTAGAGGCTGCGCGCCTAGCCACCAAGGGAGCCTCTTTGGTGGTCGAGCGCATTGAGGCGCTGGGCTTACGGGTGGCCCTGGATAAGACGGTGGCCCTATTGTTCCATGGGCCCCGTCTTGGTTCGCCTCCCGGCGCCTCCATCGTGGTCGATTCGGTCCACGTACCGGTTATTCTTGACGGGAGGTGGCTCACTTCACGCTGACGTTCACTTCCGTCAGCTTGCTCCAAAGCTGGTTCTTCGGCGCTGCTTCTGCCCTAGGGCAACTTTTCCCCAATTTAATTGGAGCCAGCGTCGCGTCAAGACGGCTGTATACGGGCGTATGTATGTATGTATTCTGGGCGGTGGCTCTGACCGCCCAGAATAGGGCACGCCCCTGGCGCCCTCAGAGGATATTGTCGGTTAAGTATCGACGGAAGCGGCCTGCGCGTTGGCCGGAACACCCCCGTGGGATTTGGAGGCGGAAGTGCTCGCCGAAGTATATAGAGGGACGTCTGAGCTCCGTTCCGGGCGGATAGCGGCTTATGGCCCGCATCCGAAGAGATACGCGAGTGGCGTGACCGCTCGCTGAGCCACGATGGCTCGTAGGTCGTCCCGGCTGGAGGCTCCACGTGCTGGCTTTGCCACCGTGTAGGCGCTTCAGCCGGTCATGGTCGAGTGGCCAGGGCGGCAGCACAGGACCCTTTCCTTCCGGCTAACGCAGGTTCTTTCCGAGCACGGCTGCTTCGGGAAGTACCTGCACTCGTCATCTCGCAGAAGGAGGCGGCGGAGAGGGCTCGGGAGGATGATCTCCACTCGGACTCAATTCGTCGCCTGCGAACCGGGCGGCAAAGGCACGCTTACCACCGACTCATGCCGCCTTGAGTGTGGCCGCGGGTGGACCCGACGGGTTTTCCCCTCCACCTGCTATAACGGCGAGCCGCGAGGAGGCGACGTCCGCGTGTGCCAGATGCCGCCTAAATGGAGAATGTACCCGAAGATGGTGCCCGCGCCATTGCGGGCAGGCGCTAGGAGGGGTCCGGTTGTCTCAATAATAGCGGTTCACGAATCTCTCCTATAACAGGCGCAGAGTGGCACACCGTGTGGTTTTAGTCGGTCCGATTCCGACACACCACCCCGCCGCAAACCCCGGTATGGTGACGGCCCGAGGGGGTTGCCGCACGTAAAAAAAAAAGGGTTTGTTTCAAGTTTTCCTTTTCTTTGCAGTGCTGTTGTCCTGCGTAGTTTGTTCCCTTAGTCGGCTTTTACGACATCCACTGGATAAATAGAGGTAGTGACACTCTGTATCCTTCGCAAATGCCAAGTCGATAGAAAAAGGTATAATGAATAGATCAAAGTGACATAATCGGCCATTTATTTATCCAGCAAAATACTTCTGCCGAGCACCTTTTATTAGACCAAAACTTTCACAAATGTATTTATACTAATAAATGGTATATGTACCTACTATTTTATTAACCTTGACACCATCGTTACATTTGTTAAATTAAGGAAAAAAAGTAGTCACAGTCACAGCTGTTAGCAGAGCACACTAAACAGCTTTTTATTTGCTTTATAATTTTAGAAGTTAACTGCAATTAATAAGCCAGGCCTGAAGGTTAAATGTTGTACTGACTGTGGTCAGCCTATGATGACATTAATTCTCATATAAATAATAATCATTTATTTCAGACCATAGTGGAATAAATTGTTGTTATATAGTAACAATTATTGTTCATAATGATTGTGATAAATTGTGGTTCTCAATTTAATTAAGTGTATTCATTTTACTTAGACCTGACCTGGCTTGTGACCTCAGCCAATAGAGCCTGGTTGATGTATAAATAATTAGTAGATGACTAAAAACCCATAACTTTAAAATCAATGTTATCAAAAAAAAAAAATCTTTTGTAAATGGTAGGCTATGAGCTTTTCCAGACTACAATCTGTATCTGCTGAAAATTTCACCCAGATCCATGCAGTCATGCTGTCCTATTATAGTAACAAGCATTCATCCTCACAAACAGTAATAATATTAATGATAAGTGCTATTTCAGCAAAACATTTTAGAAAGAAATTAACATTAAAACAAATGAAAAATATGCAAAAATAGACAGTCAAAACTCATTAGTATGAGTGGCTGCTACTTGTAATAATCACAACATATTTGGTTTCAATAATAAAAATTGCTATTATTATTATTCCTACACTATTTGTTACTTAACTCTTTAGCAATCATTTTCAAAGCATTAGTCTGTTCTTTCATCAATTGTAGTTTTTGTTTTAAATAATCTTTTCTAAAATTTATATAGTCTTCTTTTATTTCTAGTTTTCTTTTCTCATGTTTAGCTAGCAAATTACAATTGAAAACACAGGTATTAGAATGCTTAACATTATCATTATTTTCTTTGAAATTCTGATCCTCTCTGATATTATTCTCAACTTTGTTTGTGTACCTTTCTCCTTCTACTTCTTCTTCTACAGTTGGAGATTCCAGTACTTCATAGTAAGATACATTAGACTCGTCTTCAATAATAAAACTGCCTTGAGCACTTTCTAAGTCCAAAGCATCGGAGTTAACAAATTCAGTGCTTTCTTGGTCCTGCGATGTTGAGGTCTCGAGTTTTATTCCTATTGCTTGTTGTTCAGCGTCTGTGAGATTAAATAATGATCTTGAAAAACCATTCTCATGTCGCTTCTTTGTCTTAGACTTTATATCTTGCCATGTCTGTAATTTAAAAGCAAGAACATCTATTTATTAAGTGCGAGACTTTCAACGATGCTAATAGATTACACGCTTAAAAATTAAAGCAAAGTACTTTTCTCCATTGTCTCCAGGTTTTTCTGGAGCCAGGTATAGCATTACATTCATTAGCAACAATAACCCATAATTTCTGAGCGTCATTATATTTAAAAGTCGGTGTTAATTTGCCTAAGGCCAAATCGGGATACTTTGTCATGAACTCCAAGAGCTTCTTCTTCTGTTTAGCAGTGGGATAAACACATCTTTTCCTATTATTCATGGTTCACTAAAAAAAATACAAAACACTTCATCGATCTGCTGTATTGTTTGTTTGTTTCATTAATAGTGGTGTAACGACTTGACTTTTCTAACCGGTTTTGCATGAACCGAGTTGACTCGGTTAGCCTGTGGTTCAAATCTGAATTATATTTATCAATTTACCTACAGGCACAAGCTATATAATAATGTTCCTAGAAAATCGGAAGTAGATAGGGCGCGTCGTCAGTTAGTCAATAATTTAATACATAAACTGATTTACCAACAGTTCGGATCTAACGGACATACCTATTTTTCATATATCCATCAAATGAGAAAAGTAGGCTTGGTAATCGTGTTACATGACTGAATAGTTTGTTGTATTGCCATTAGCTCTCAACAAACTACCAATCAATTAATACCTTCGCCACGTCGGTGGTCGGTTAGTAAAGGTAATGTCAAGTTTAACGCTAGTAATCCGTTGACAAACCGTTAAACTATGGTTTAATCGTTCTCATCGAATCATGTTGCACATCACTTTCGTATGTTACTTTCGCTAGTACACTCACCATATTATCAGTTTTGAACCGACACGCATTAATTGTCACATCGATTCAACAAAATTCCAGACAGTCCATCTCTAGTCATTATAATTGGTGACAGCTCTCTCACACACAGTGTTGCCAACAGTTAAATTAACTCTCCACCAGATTCAACGTTTAAAACCACCAGAAAAATAATAACAAAAACGGCCTTACTGAATTAGTCGCAAAAATTTACTCTATTTTTTTTTAATTATTACGATATATTTTAATAATTAGTTTGCTTTATTATTAACTTAAAATCAATAAATCAAAGTACAAATAAACAAGCCGTGATCAGGAACATTTTTTTTTAATAAAAACACTTACTAATTTTAACAAAGTCAGGTACTTATTTTAAATGAATTCGTCTTCTACGCATGAATTGTTTTCATCTGCACTATCGTCGTCGCTTTCAGATTGACAGACTGCAACTCTTTGGTACCGATTTGTTTCAGAACTTTTATTGGACTTTCAAATACGTTGCAACATTTTCCTTCCAACCTTAAATTACAGCGTTTTCTGAATATAACAAATAAAGTATTAAATTTATTTGCCCCTGCTTGTTTCTTTATAACATTCATTCTGGTAAATAGTCTCTCAAAATGGCATTGGACTAAGGCAGTTTTAAGAGAATAGGTATAAGCAAAAGTTGTTTATTCCTCAAACCTCGATTTAGTTTGCCCAGAACCATATTGTTAATTTTGAATTTTCTTCGCTACCTTCTTGGGAAAAGATCATTTTGTCTATTCATTCTATTGAAATGGATTGTGATGGCTTCAGCCATAAGGTGATAGTTACCATCCGAATAACGTCCTCGAAGTCATAGCATACATAATTGACGTCTTTCTCAACTCCGGACCATTCCCCTTTCTCTAGCACAAAGCCTACATCATCCCATTGGCTAAAGTTATTAATCCTTCTCTTCCTGAGCACTTCCGTTCAATCTCCATCCTTAATTTTCTATCAAAGGTTCTTGAGGTTTACGTACGCAAGCAGTTCTCAAAGTTTGTCTTTTAACATCATCCCTTAAGTCGTCCACAATCTTACAGTTACTAATAAACAACCAGAAAAATCCACTAGCCACTAAAAGCAATATTTGACCATTAAAAGAAGGGTCGAAACCACCTGTTTTAGGGGAAAATCCATTAGGTTGGCAACTATTTTTCATCTTAAATTATTAAGATCTGTAATATTTATTATGAAATTGAAATCGATACGATGGCTTTTTACTTAATACACTTTTCACGTAAATTTAGTTGATAATTAAAAAATATGTTTGCCGACTAGCTATTATTATCATTACTTATTACATTATGATATACTAAAGAACATAATGTAACTAATTTAATATATTTCATTTATTTTAAACGTAACCCACTTCCATTTTTTTAAATGAACTCTTGAATCATAAAATCAAACACTGCGCTGGCAACAATGTTACGTCAGTCGTCCATTTTGTTTTGACTTTTTAGCTCTTGCAAAACCAAATCAGTCATCATTCAATTTGCACTGATCGCTACGGGTTGCGGTCGAAAGTGAAGTGCGCTTTAAAAAAACAATATATCGTGTAATCATTACGTTGTAAGGCGTAGCTTTGTTCGTGAAATTATGATATGACTACAATTGTGTTCTGTAAAATTAATTCGTGAAACTAAAGTGAAGAAAATGGCTCGTGACCGCGGGTTATTAAAACGATTTCTACTCGTCTTCGTGGAGTGTCTCTTCACTTTACAACTAGTTGAATACGTAAGTGTATTTGTAACGTTTTCTTTGTTCTACACCATTACGTTTATACTCGATATCTCTACATCACGGTTAACATATTTAGGCGTATGGAATTCCCGGGATAAAATCATCAAAAATGATGCAAATGTGATGAAGTCACAAGTTTTCTATTTATTGATGTCGATCAAGGTTTTATTTGTGCGCCTTTTAAGTATAGAATGCTACAATAATACTTATTTCAAATTCTGCTTTGAGGTAATCTGTGCTACTTCTTACATTGTGTGTATATTCAATGTCTGCATGTCTTGATGATGAGAATGATAAACTTAAGATTCTTGCAAAGACATGACCCACTCAGGTTCTGAAAATATAAGTTTTACAACCAGGGAATATAATTTCATTTCACTTATCTGCTAAGTCTACTTATAAATGTCAGATTAGGAATTATACTGGGAGTAGAAAGTTAAAAAAAAAACTTTTAAGACACATATTGGAACAGCGTATGTGACCTAATCATAACTCCAAATCAGCTTATAAATTATGTATTTTAATTATTTATATCACATACATGTAGTCTTACTGCTTACATTTTCTTCATTTTTTTTTTATTTAAATACTATTATTAATAATAATTAATAAAATTAATATTATAGGAATCATGCCTAATTTGTTTACTAGATATTAAATATAGTATGGCTTGGGAGATCTTACTGCTGGAAATAAAAATTTTCTAATAAATTGGATTCTGGGGTGAGATCCTTTGTGATAAAAAAATATGCATATAAGCCAAATATGCATATTAATTAGAAAAAAACACGTAAAAAAAAACTGATAATTAACCTTCAGATGTAGTGACTGATAAAAACAAATGGTATTTTTATTGTTATGTAGTAATTTGAAGAATATCACAGTAATATCCTGTAGTACAAACCTCCTCGACAAGGCTGTTCAGACTATGTCTGTCATACTAGGCATTAACTGATGTCGTACCAACTATGTGACTAGATATTGAACATCAAGGGATATCACTGTTATAATAATAAAGCCCTTTTCTTCCGAATTTGCTACAGATTTGACAATACATATTTCCGAGTTCTATTTGTTATATTATGTGATGATCACGGTTCTGACACAAAGAAAATGTTACCATGCTCCCCAAGGCACCAACCTAATAGTTAAACACTATACTAAAATCCATATGTTGTTAACAGGTCAATCGAGGGACACATATGGTTCAATTAAAAGTAATTTATATCAATGAATAATGGTACACTTCAATTGATTGTGAATAAGGCTTAACTGTTTCAGCGGTGGGGTTCATTTATGTCATAACTAGTCTTAATTATTAATGATTACATACAACTGTACGGTTTATTGTGGTAACAGTTATGTAACTAAGACTAAAAAAATGCATGAACTAAAAAGAGTCTCTATTCCATGTTCTATGCGGTTTTTCATTCCCTAGATGGAGCTGTTACAAAACTTAGATTGTTGGATAGACACTATGGTTGTGTTACAAGCGTTTAAGGCCTATAAACATTTTGTATAACAGATCAAGACTGGAGTTTAGTTCAAGGCGTTTGCCCATTAAACCGTGGAGTTTTACAAACCCATAGTACAGTGCACAGTGGTTTTATATAAATCCCTACTAGTGTCACTCACCCAGTCAAAAGATACCACGCTTGGTATCAAACAACTATATAGACAGAGGTATAGAATTTATGAAATGGTCACTTGACTGTGTGGCTCTACTATCTATAACCAATGTTTTTTTTTATACAGTGAAAAATTACTGTTTTATTGTGTTATTTTAGACATATTTCTGAACAGATGTTCTGGTAGACTATTTTACTTGTTGGATGTTTAATGCATAAATTGATTATTGTTTTTTTTTCATTAGAGTCAAGTAATAGTAGAATTTAATATATACTATTCTTATTTTAACCAACTTCAAAACTATTATTTTTCAAATTGAATTATTTTGTTTCAAGAGATGAAAATACAGCTTATAATAAAAATTTAAAACTTGATTACCTTTATCAGTTCTAAGTATTTTAAATGCTTCTATTAGACTTGAATTTAGTGTGTCAGCCATGAATTGGAAGCAGTTCCGATCTTTGACACTTTAGCCATTTTATTGCCTCCGTTTATTCATGAACAATTTTAAATGCCATATTCTTGACGTCATTATCTGTGTGCTAGTTTTAGTATTACTTTGCATACTTTTAGTATAAAAAGTTTTTTGCCATAATGTCCTACTTGGCATGCTCTCTGTACTTATCTTCTTCTAAAATTCAGATTTTCTTCCATATTACATAATAATATAAATCTAATTATTCATATTTATGGGATTTATTAAAATAGTCCAACTTGCAATAGATGTGTTCATAACTAAGAGTGTACCATACTAACTTACCATACCTGATAACATAACAACCATCCATGGGCGGCGATGGTAACTTTCCATCAGGCGATCCGTCTGCTTGTCTGCCCGCTCTACCATAAAAAAAAGAAACAGTTAATGGGAGGAAAAATAATGTAAAATTAAAATAGTCATTGCTGAGTAAGGTGATGAATTCCACTATATTTTAACATATCCTGGTTAATTTATGAGGGAATCTTTAACTTTCAATTGTTATTGTTGAACACAATACATAATCTCCTTTTTCCTCCTCCTTACATTTCTGTACAACTTCCTCTCCTAAAGCCTTTCTGTCTGCAACTTTGGTCGTCCAGTCATGTTCTCCCAGCCCTCGGATGTCGTAAACCCATCGTTTTGGTGAGCGGCCCCTTGATTTGGTATTGGGCAATGGTCTACATTCCAGGATCCTTTTTGCCCATCAATTAGTCCTCATTCATCATCGATTCCGGTCAGCCCAAGACCTCTTTTGGCGATGGTTAAAAACCCTAAATAAGAAACTACCATATACACCACAATAGGGTAACATTTTTTTAATAGCTGTGGCAATCAGGTGACCAGTTTTGTTTAATATGTGTTTTGAGGGGCTCAGTCATGCAGAAATTGTGTAAGTTCTGCTGTTTTAACTAAACGATTTCTGGATGCATGACTCATGTTCGCAACGTAAGGGCAATTGCATTACCCTTGGTGTCGGAAGTGGGGGAGCGTTGTGACCTCATGTAACTCTGGTGACTGTATTGTAGATGTTGTTTAATTTCGTGACTCGACTTCGAGCAAAATTACCTTTTATTATAACGATGTTTTTCGTTTTCTGATAAACGTACTATTTTGATATTGGTCTCGAAGTAAATTACAAATGAATGATAAATGCATTTAATGTACATGTGTATTACAAAGATAATTAACCATTGATGGACGATTCACGCAAATATTGGACTCATGTGGGCGTCGAAACTACTATACTTTTGCCAGTACCACTTGATAATATAACTAAATAAAATGTGCTATCTTTTCTTCGTTAGCCCCGTAATGATATGCTTGAACGAACTATTCATATTGCAGCATGAGTAAAACTTTAGAGTAACACATTACCCAGTTATGTTTGCCTCGCTTTGTGGTTTTGCATCTATTTATGTTAGTGTTATGTTCCTCGAGCTAATGATTAATGAGCACAGAAACGTTTGCGAATACAGTTTCGACCAACGCACATCTATAACCTTGGCCTTGACTAACTTTAAAGAAGGACGTAAGAGCTAATAAATACTACTCAAACTCCAATTTGTATTCCAAATATTCGAAATTACGGAACCTTCCAATTGAATTTTAATGAGTGGAAATATGGTAGAAGCTTCTAGACTTCAGTCAATTTATTTCTTCACACATAAAATATCCGCTTGCAATAAAGTTTTCGAAATATTTTGAATCAGTTAGAGTCGAAACTACTAGAGTAAAGTCAAATATCTAGGTCTAATCATATTCCAAATTTATTAATATTAGTAGAAAATAGTTGAGCGTTGAACTCACCGATAAATAATCGTCGTAAGGTCGTGAACCTTCTAGTATTAATATCAACCTATTATTGGATGACCTGCACCATTCTCCACAATGGTACTGGAAAAGTTCGACGTATTCATGACTATTTTGAATCGCTTTAGTCCGCGACCAGGGCGACTTGTTTGTAATTCCAGCTAAATATTAATGATAAATGCGAGTGTGGATCAAGCAGTCAGTTTCTGAATCGATTATCTTGAAAGATTGCATACTTTGCCAGACAAGACAAGAGAAATATGCAACGAGTACCTTCTATCCAGGAAAGAAGTACTGTTCCTGTATTATAAATTTATAAACCTGAAACGTGGACACTAACGGTAGAGCGAGTCCGAAATTGGGCTTAGGATCGATAACATCAGTAACGACGTCATCCGATGAAAGCGAAAGTAGCCGACATATCACGCAGAATAAACATGCTTAAGTGGTTAGCGGTAGCCGAGGCCGAATAGCCGTTAAATCAAAGTAACAAGGGTGAAAACCACAAATCGATAAGTGGAATTGACACGGGCGGATAAAACCGTCTAGGAGCTGAAGGTGGGTTAGAGAAAAAATATGAAATTAAATAGGTGGGTATTGAATTAGTTTTCGGCATCCGATGTAATAATACCTAATTACTAGACACGGAAAAAGACGTAAAATGTCTAGACATGCCCGGCAACACGACAAGTTAATTATTACACGCGTGATCCTTACAATGTGACGTTAGTGGACTTTGAGTTTTATAATTCTCAAGAAGTAAGGAAAAATCAGTAGTATTTAGCCGTGGTTTATTTAGAAAACCGGTATTTAATGACGTGAAAAAGCATTCAGCTTAATACCAAGTTAGTTATATGCTTGCTAATACTCAGTGAAGTTTATTACTCTATTAGAGACAAGAGTTCATGAAACACAAACATTACGTATAAAGATAATTTAGAAACGTTTTTTGTTTTTAATTCATTTTACTTATGTTATTAGAAATACAGTAAAACTTTTAAATACGTAGTGGTTGTGTTTCATGAACTCGTGTTTTATTATTTGGACTAAACAGTAGCCATATAGCCACGACTTG